CTTGTATTACAGGGCCAGGGCAGCCGGAACCGCAGGCTATTGAGGAGGGTTTTGGGTTGGCTATTGGATTCGGGCCGGCTGACTGAGTACCGGCTGGCCCGGAGGCTGGAGCTGGAGGCCCGGGAGGAGAATGACGGGGCATAGGTCAGCCGGGGGCTATAAGCCAGTTGGGCCCGGCCCACTGGTTTGTAGGCCCTCAAGGCGTACTCTAGGCCTTTCTCTCTTTTGCAACTGACCGCATTCGTCAGATTGGATTTCCTAGACTTGTCCGACAGAGGTTTTCACCCGGCCTAAACGGTACGGTTTTTCCTTTGTACATAGCTGGAGCGGGTCCGAGGAGCCTGTTAGATAGGCATAGCGGGGTAGGAATAATAATAATAATAATTCTCGAGTATTAAGGTCGAGTACCCTCTTAAGAAGTACCTTCTCTTTTAATTCGGTTAATTTTCAAAGGTTGGCTGGTATTTTACGTCGTAGTTGCTTTCCAGTGCGTCGATTCTAGAGCGAGCTTCGTGGGATCTCGTACATCGTAGCAGCTTTTCGAACGGAAAGTTTAGGGCTTTTTTTTAAGAGCTTCGAGTGCAAGGAAAATGCGACTCTCTTTTGGAAGAGGTTCCATTGTGTTTTGTGAAAGAAATTCGCAATCAAGTTCGAGAGGTTGCAAAGTGAAGAAAAGTGGCCCACTCGTTATGCTGGCCCACTCGTTATGCTGGCCCACTCGTTATGCTGGCCCACTCGTTATGCTGGCCCACTCGTTATGCAAGTACGTTAGTTATCTTTACTATTAACGTTAACTCAAATACGCCCTCTAGGGGGCAAATCAATTCAAATCGAAGCTCAGATTTGATTTGTTTGAGTTATTCGGAGCCTTGGACATGAATGATACTCAAGGCACGTACTGTACTCTATGTCCTACCAAGACTTATATATACTTCGATAAGTAAGGTATATATGTACAAGTAGAATATGTCTTCATCAAGAAGGTGCAAGGCGGAATCCCCGAAGTCTCGTGACTGAAGTCAACCAACCGCAGCAGATATTTCATAGTGCACTCGCTGCTCGCAGCCAACCATTCCCATTACCGATCTCTAGATTGCATTCCCCCACCCTGCTGCCTGTTCCGCGGCGGGCCCGGCTCACCACGTGGCAAACCCGATTTCTGCGCACATCTGCGGCAAAAGTAATCGACCGTCAAATACTGAAGAGTTGGAGATTCCCTGATTCCGGGCCAGTCAACACTCAACAGTCAAACTGCAGTATTCCTGTGTCAGTCTCTCACTTCCCTTGATTGAATGGTACTACTGTACTAGTATAGGTACCTTACTTTATAAGTAGGTACATCCGGGGGGACCTCCACTGCAGGTCTCCCTGGCAGTACTCAGTCATCACTTTGTCTTAACTACGACCGCCATGAACGTCAGCAATAACACAGGAGCGACACCATGTCTTCATTGTTTAAACACACTGCCAACTACCTCCGGTTGGTTCTGCCGAAGCAAACAGTCAGCAAAAAGAAAACAGCAATGGGTGGGCAGACAGAAAACGTTGGCTTAAATCTTAGCCAGACGCCGCAGACGATACCCGGGCAAGGGGCCGCAAGGACGGTCCCGGAGACGAGTCGGAACATCGACCCCCAGCGAGCCAGCGCCCTCCTGGTTTCACTCCCTGTAGAGATGCTCAATCTCATCGTCTCATACTTAACTCTCGAGTCCGAAGTGGCATTTGCTCTCACCTGCCGGCTGCTCTACCGTTTATACATGCCACCAAAGCCACGCCTTAGGTGTCTCGAGGACGAGCAAAAAAGAGACCTACTCCTTTGGCTCGAAAGGGACACCCCCCAGCTCTGCTTCTGCCACGCCTGCATGAAACTGCACACATGGAGTCGAGTACCCAGAGTTGTGGACCAAGACATCTACTATCCTCAACTTTGCCCCAAGCAAATTGACGATCCGCTTCTCTCGATGCCTCATCCATTGTACGGGATTAGATACGGGCAGGCACGCCTTATCATGAGGCGCCACCTTTACGGAGATTCCTATGGCCTGGAACTGGAAACACTGAATCGGGACCGGCTGGTTGAGGCGCGCATCAGCTACCCGCCAACGGGCGTCGGTGTAATGGTCAAGCAGTCGTGGCGAGCACGAATCATCAATGATGAGCTATACGTTAAGGCGACAATGGAAATATACCACCGCAAAGGCTGTGCGCGAACCTTCGGGCAATGCCTCTACAACCCCACCTTCGAATTCGAGCAATCACGGGTATGCCATCACGTCTGGGCCTGTCACGACCCGTATTGGAGAGTATCGACCGGTGGCTATTCAGTTCAAGAAGTGCATCGAGATGATTGCTTGCCCGACATGATTTTCACCAGGTCCCAGGGGCCGCTCAAGTCCTGTCCTCATTGCTTTACCGATTTCCGAATCAGCACAAAGTATATTCGCCATTCCTGAATGCAAATCAACAAAAAGACGGCCCAGTCGGCTGGGTTATGACCATTTCCAAGTGGCACCGACTGGGCAAATGCAGTTGCCCAGAGGATCGAGAATGGGCCAGCTCCGTCAGCTTCATGCCGCACCAACTCGGACATGTCCGGACTCAAGATCCATCGTGCTCGGCGGGCGAAGTGTACCGCGCATGGGAGGGTGCCGAGCTAAACAGGGATGGCGCAGCGGGTGTAGTCTTGGAGAGCGAGGACTGCGGAGACAAGGAGGCCAGCTTCGTCAACTACAGTCAGGAGAGATGTCAGTGCTGTATTGAGTACCCATATGGAATTCTGGTTAGATGTGTGATTAGGGATGGCAGATATGTACCCGTAGATTAATCTACCTGAGGCGTCGAAATGCCGGAAAAATCGCAAATACAGCATACCTAAGGTAGGCTAGCTAGAGGTAGTACGTTAACAACTCAAACTATCAACTCTAAGCCAGTAGGCCCGCGAATAACAGAGAACACGGGGCTCATCCTCACACTACTCTTAGTACTACTACCATATCCCATTTCACTCCATCTCTCGCGCATCAGGCTCAGTTTCGTAGCTCTCCTTCTCCTTGCTCTCGACAGTCCTCTGCAGTCCCTCCTCCCATCGCTCTCTCACCTTAGCAGACAACACCTCTCCAGCATCCTCCAATTGCCTCCTAACTTCCAGCTTGAGCCCTCCTGAATAGCAAATCTCCACTTTCCCACCAGCGTCCGAGTTCTCAACCACGACGTCCTTGATCCAGGACAGAAGAGCGGCGAGCTTGGCCAGCTTGGCAGCATGCTCGTGCTCCCACTTCTTCATCTCTTCCCTGGCGTCTTTGATCTCGGTATCCTGCGTCATAAACAGCCCCTGGGTGTGATATGCCAGTATGAAATTTGGGATTTGACGAAGCCACAGTCGAGGGAGTTCCTCGGCAAGAATGTCTCTCTTGCCCCGGGTGTAGATGGAGCGGGTTTTGAGATCAAAGAGCGAGGACTGGGAAACAGTGGAGCCGCCGTGTTTGACTTGCAGCGTGTTGGAGCCAGGGGGGTTGGAAGTGTCGGCAGTGGAGACGGTGGTGGTGAGCAGCGATGAAACAAGGTCGTCAACAGATGCCAATGGAGCCTTTTCCTCCTCCGTGGCGGTATCCCCAGAGGCGGATGCAGCAGGTTCTGGAACATTCTTCTCTTTGATGTACCCGTCGGCTTCAAAACGCACGAGCAGCTCCATCCCGCCAAACGTGTAGCGTATCACGCGCTGATAAGAGGCAGAGCCCTTGACTTCGCGCTCCCAGGTGGTATTGGCCTCGGGGAAGGCATGACCAAACCCCCGGACGCCCGGTATCAGTTCTGTAGGCGAGTTCTCGCGCCGGACGAGGAACACAGAGTTGCCGACTTTGTATGCCAGTATGCGGAACGGTTTGTCCTCTCCTCGGACGAAACGCAGGAGGTTACCCAGGGTGCTCCCGCAAGCAACAATGTCTACCTCAGACGGGATGGTCGGGTCTGCATCGAGAGAGACCACAACCATCGGCTCCATTGGGTGCTTGGGGTAGCGAGCCGCGTTCTTGTCACGGAAATAGGAGCCGCTGTCCTCATTGAGACGCGAAGGGACGGATTGGGGCGTCCACAGAGGAGGCTTGCCTGAAGAAGGACAGTTTGTCAGCATGGGACTGCTAAGTGATAGGGGCAGTAGGTCACGTATCCGTACCTGGGACCAGAATTGTCGGCACAGACGCCGTCTTGTTCATCCAGTTATACGAAGTCACTGTCCTGGCGTGGACGATTTTGGCCGTTTCTCCAAATTCCTTTGCTCGTCCTCCAAGATCACCGAGCTGCATTATCAATAGAATGTCGCCTAGGGGAGGAGGAGGAGATGACACTACGGGGTTTTCCACCCGGCGGTAAAGCCCCCGCTTGTTTCTCGTGTCGTACCATGCCGCAGTTGACCGACTGGACGACATACTGGAGGGTAAGGTAGATGTTAACGAATATCTAAGCAGAGATCTGGTGGGTGGGATGTGCAACGATCAGGCGAGACCTTGAACTGAACTTACTAAATCAGAGTGTCCTCAATGACGATCGCAGGCGCTTATTATATACAAGTGGATTACGCGGTGAAGACTGCAAGGTCGCATGTTCATCAATGCCGCTTTGGGTCGCCTAGGATGCCTTTCCGGTGAGGCCTACCGCGAGAATGAAAGCTTGAATGCGTTTGTTGGTTACACAATGTCCACATCGACTTGACACCTGTGGTGTGATTGAGATATGCGCCAATCAGGTTTACAGACTTACATTGAGGCCCGCTGCGCAGCAGCGTTTGCAAGGCCAGGCAGCACACCAACCTGTCGTCAGTCGGCGTTGCAACGCCATGTCCCGTCACCCGTGTATGGACGCCTCCGTTGTATGGCTCCGACTGTGTCCGCCTCACTCCAACTTCACATCGAGGCATTCTAAGAAGCCCCTAGGCTCCCCATTCTTGACGCCATGTTGCCAGCTTACCAATGCTGCCCAAAGCCCAACCACGGACGCCTACGTATAGATAATACGAGTCATATCATCCTCTTCTTCTAACCCCGCAGGGAGGTTGCAGATTATGCGTTGAGGCCCGCAACGCCGCGACCTTAGAGGGCCGTGATTTGTCAAGAAAACGGCAGCGTCGACCACACGAGGCTGCGTTGCGGGCCGAGATAGGGTCATACAAATGCCTCCAGTTCGTCAAATAGAAGATCAGCGTAAATGCAAACGCTGGTTTCAGTGTAAATTGAGGCTTCATCGTGCATTCCCTGGCATCGATGCGGCGTGTTTCTTAAGACCTCCTGCCATCCTCTGGTGTTAGACCGTTCCCAAACAACAAGCAGTGCTCACCGAACCTGTCAGCATACTACTCAAGGTTTCCATCTTTATTTCGTCTTTTAGGGTTCCAGAGCAGATATGGCATCTCTCCAGGATCCCGACCGCCGTGCTGCACGTCTTCGAACAAGGTTCAGAGAGACGGTGTCGGGCAACCGGCAAGTCCGCACTCGCCAGGATGCCGAGTTGTTCTTAGAAGCCATTCGTGGACAGCAACCCCCAGCTCAGTGTGTCGAAGTCCTTGTTTCCAGCCCGCACGGCCTCGAAGCTGTTGCGAACGCTATCCGCTTCGATCTTTCCCGCTCTTTCATCTTCACGCACACTCTTCCCTTCTTGCGATATCTGTCAGACCCCGGGGTCAAGACCTTAGTCTATGGGCAGCTCCTTGAAAAGGTGCTACTGGTTGTTGTCAACCCGCCGATCGTGTTGAACGAACTCATCAAGCTGTTTGATGCACGTCAGATTCCCGATGATGGCCTCTATGCTTTTGCATGGCTGGCCGTCGAGCTTGTTTTGCTTCCTCTTGATGTCAATGTTGATGTGTCGGCCGTGATCAAGTCCGTATCAGATGGACAACAATTCCTCAACTCTCAGGACCATGCGACGCGCGAGCTAGGCTACAAGCTCCAGAATGTCCTCCAGATCAGAGGTTCTGGCGAACAACCTAGTGGCCCTAACGGACCTGGCGGCCGTCACGACAATGATTTCAGCGACTTCCGCCACATCCGCATCTATCCAACCCCGGATGAGTTTCTTTCCAACCAGTTGCCGTACTACCAGACGGCCCGGGAGGTCTTCGAAACCGATGAGGAGAAACGCCCGGCGGCCCATCTTGACAACCAATTCAGATTGCTAAGGGAAGACATGCTGGCCGAGCTGCGCGAAGACGTGAAGGCTGCCTTTGGAAAGAAAGGAGGTCGGAATTCGTTCGTCACATGTCTTGGCGGACTCGTGCCTTCTGGAATCGACATTGAGGATGAGGCAACGGGAAGGTACAAACGATGCACCCTCTTGCTGAAGTGCTACGCCGGCCTTAACTTCCTCCAAAACCATGACTCTGCCAGCGCGCGGAAAAAGTATCTGCAGGATCAACCAAATCTCCTCAAACACCAGTCGTTTGGCGTCCTTTGCCGAGGCCAGGAGGTCTTTGCCTTCGCTTTCGTCGAGCGTGACATCGACAAACTTGCCAAGTCACCTCCTGTCGTTTGCCTCCAATTAACTGACGATCATGGACTACGGAACGCTTTGCTCGCACTCACCCTCCCGGGAAAGGAACTGGTCCAGTTCATCATGGTCGGGACACCTGTCTTTGCATACGAACCCGTCCTGGTGGGCTTGCAACGAATGACAGACGTACCACTTTTCCATCTTCTGGTCAACCCGGCGAGCGCGTCGAATTTCGGCAGCGAGACAAGCGCCAGATTGCAGCTTCTCGTAGAGAGAATCGAAAAGGCCGGTCAGGGTTCGCGGTCTCTATGTATTGTCCTACGACCGGCAACTGGACTCACCTCCAAAGTCGAAATCGACGAGTCGCAACTCGCCGCCCTCCTCCTCGCCTTAAAGAATCCAGTAAGCCTGATTCAAGGACCCCCAGGTAGGTATCACAGCTGCCGTCTTTTGACCTCCTTCGAGCACAACAGCTGATATTGTAGTCAAGGCACCGGCAAGTCCTTCATTGGAGCACAGATCGCCCGCTGTTTTGTTACCGCTGGCCTACGGATTCTTGTTCTCAGTTACACAAATCACGCTCTTGACCAATTTCTGGAAGATCTGATCAAGGCTGGGATTGAACCATCTTCGATGGTTCGCCTTGGTGCCAAAAACAGATGCACTTCTACCACCCTACCACTTCTCTTGTCGGAACAAAAGGGCAAATACCGCCGCTCCCGAGTCGCATGGGATTTAATCAACTCGCTGAGGATCACCCTTGCTGGATCGGGCCGAGAGCTCAAGGACGCTTTTCGGAAGTATCAACACGTGTCGGTTGGATGGGCCGACATCTCGGAATACTTGGAGTTCTCCGACGAAGGCCCACACTTCCTTGACGCCCTTCGAGTTCCCACGGCCAATGGCGAGTGGAAGCGCGCAGGAAGAAGGGGCAAGCAAGTAGGCCCAGATTATCTCTATTTGCGGTGGATTAAGGGTGAAGACCCCGGAATCTTTGCGAGGGAACTTCCAGGGAGCGCAAAAGCTGTCTGGGACATGCCACGTTCTGTTCGCGAGCAGCATGCTCAGAGATGGATGAAATCCTTGGCGGAGGAGGTCCTGGAAATCATCCAGGAGCTTAGCCGTCAGGTAAATGAGATGCAAGACAAGATCGATGTTCACTTTAGCGAGGCGGACGTTTCAATCTTGCTCCAAAAGTCCATTATCGGCTGTACCACCACTGGGGCTGCCAAATACGCCAGCTTGATTCGGTCGGCCAAACCAGATGTTGTTCTGGTTGAAGAAGCTGGAGAAATCCTCGAAAGTCATATCCTTACAGCTCTGACAGCAACGGTGAAACATCTGGTCCTCATCGGAGATCACAAGCAACTGCGCCCAAAGATCAACAACTACGCCCTGTCGGTGGAAAAGGGGGATGGTTTTGACTTGAATGTCTCTCTATTCGAGCGCTTGATCAACCAAGGCACGCCATATGCGACATTGCACAAGCAGCACCGCATGACCCCAGAGATATCGGTGTTTGCCCGTAAGCTCACCTATCCCGACCTGCTCGATGCCCCACAAACCAGCGATCGACCACAAATTCACGGCCTCCGGGACCGAGTTGTGTTCCTGAACCATGGGAAGCAGGAGGACTCGGATAATCAGTTACGTGACCGCCGCGATCCCAGCATCAAAGAGAGCAAGAAAAACGTCTTCGAGGCAGAGATGGTCTTGCGCTGTGTGAAATACTTTGGCCAACAAGGCTATTCCTCGGACAAAATCGTCGTCTTGACGCCCTATTTGGGGCAGCTGCGGGTTATCCAAGACGTCTTGCGCAAGAACAACCATGATCCCACGATAAGCGAGATGGACAAGGCCGAACTGATCCGAGCGGGTTTGATCAGCGAAGCTGCTGCAAGCCTAGACAGGAAGCCTCTCCGCGTCTCAACCATAGGTCTGGCCTTTTATTGCCCCTCGCCTCCCAGCGTTTGTGACTGGAATAAGTTGTCTGGATGCTAACATACTGACTCAGATAACTATCAAGGCGAAGAGAGCGACATTGTGATCGCCTCTCTTACCCGTAGCAATGAGTCTGGCGATATAGGGTTCATGGCGGCACCGGAGCGTCTCAATGTTCTCATCACTCGAGCTCGCAATTGTATCATCCTAATCGGCAACATGAATACTTTCATGAGGAGCAAGAAAGGCAAGGCCACTTGGCATCCGTTCTTCCAGTTGTTGAAGGAGCGCGGCCACCTCTACGATGGTCTTCCAGTCAAGTGTGAAAAGCATCCTGAAAGAACTGCAGTACTTAAGGAGCCCATCGACTTTGACAAATCATGCCCAGATGGGGGGTGCACCGAGCCATGGTAGGCCTCCTGCAGCTATGCTTAGCCCCCTCAACAGAAAGTTATCAATATGTACTAACATAATGCCACTCGCAGTGGCGAGCCGCTGAAATGCGGTGTTCACGTATGCAGATCACGCTGTCATCGGGTCGTAGATCACAGCAGAGCCGAGTGCAACCAGCTTGTTGAGAAGCTGTGCGACAGACAACACAGGACCAAAGTTCGCTGTGGCAAACAGAAAGATGGCTGTTCAGAGTGCATCCAGGAGGACAGGGAACAGGAGCGCAGAATCAAGCGCGACCTACAACTCGAGGAAGACCGCCGTCGACGGGAAGAGGAGTACACTCGGAAGCTTCAAGAGATCCAGGATGAGCTCGAGCATCAACGCCGTGTCAACAAGTACCACGCGGACGAGGAGATCCGGAAGCAGACCCTTGATCAGCATCAATCGGAGTTGGCCGCCCTGAAGGATGCGGAGGTGAAACTCAGGGAACGAAATAAGCGTAGCGCAGAGCTCGCTGCTCAGGCACCTGAAAGGGCCCAAGCTCAGGCCGAAAAGCGAACAAGAGAGGAACCATCCCATGCCTCGCCCGATGAAGCTGCATGGTCCGATGATGCCAAGTCGGACTGGGAGTTTCAAAAGCAGTTCGAGATGGCGCAGAGCAAGCCACTGGTGGAGTTGATGGACAAGTTGATGGACATGATTGGGTTGGAGGAGGTCAAGAAAGAGTTCCTCAGAATCAAGTCTCGAGTTGAAATCGACGTGCGTCGGGGGACTTCCATGGCGTTGGGACGATTCAGTTGTGCAATGCTGGGTAATCCGGGAACTGGTTGGAGCATCCCTCATCGACCCCTTTAATTTACCCATCACTGACCCATCAGCAGGTAAAACTACCGTCGCCCGTCTTTATGCGCAGTTCCTCAGCGAAATTGGTGTTATTCCTGGTACCAGCTTCAAGGAAAACACAGGTGCAGGACTGGCCAACATAGGAGTCTCGGGGTGCAATAAGCTCATCGAGGAGATTCTGAACAATGGCGGAGGCGTCCTCTTCATTGACGAGGCCTATCAGCTGACTTCCGGCAACAATCCAGGCGGGGGGGCTGTGCTGGATTATTTGCTTGCCGAAGTCGAGAACCTCAGGGGCAAGGTTGTTTTCATCCTGGCCGGATACCGCAAACAAATGGAGAGTTTCTTTGCGCACAACCAAGGGCTTCCGAGCCGATTCCCCATCGAAATGGCATTTGCAGACTATACGGATGACGAGCTCCTGAGGATCCTCGAATTGAAGGTTAACGAGAGGTACAACCATGCGATGGATTGCGAAGATGGGCTGAGAGGTCTGTATTGCCGTATTGTGGCTCGAAGAATTGGAAGAGGCCGGGGGAAGGAAGGCTTTGGAAATGCGCGAGCGGTTGAGAACGCGCTCGAGGTTATTGCAGGACGACAGGCCGACCGGATCCGACAAGCCCGCAAGAATGGGTCCAAACCAGACGACTTGTTGTTCACTAAGGAGGATCTAATCGGCCCGGAGCCAGCCGGTGCTCTGGCGAATTGCCCGGCCTGGAAGAAGCTCCAAGATTTGATCGGTCTAGGCGCCGTCAAGGAAGCAGTTGGTTCTCTTGTCGACAGTATCCAACAGAACTACCTTCGCGAACTGGCCGAGCAACCTCTGATCGAGTACTCGCTCAACAAGGTCTTCCTCGGGAATCCCGGCACAGGAAAGACCACTGTAGCGAAGCTCTATGGTGAGATTCTTGTAGCGCTCGGGTTGCTGTCTAAAGGGGAAGGTAAGTTCAGAGAAAGGGAACGCCGGTAAAGACCTGGGCTGACACTAACGTGTCCTTAGTCGTCGTGAAGAACCCGTCCGATTTTGTTGGTGGGGCGCTGGGACAGTCCGAGCAGCAGACGAAAGGCATTCTCGCCGCCACACTCGGGAAAGTCCTTGTCATTGACGAGGCGTATGGTCTTTATGGCGGTGGCGGTAATCAGGGCGCGTCTTCGGATCCGTACAAGACAGCTGTCATCGACACCATTGTGGCAGAGGTTCAAAGCGTCCCGGGCGATGACCGTTGCGTCCTGTTGCTCGGGTACAAGGACCAGATGGAGAAGATGTTCCAGAACGTCAACCCCGGCCTGAGCCGCCGGTTTCCCATTGCGTCGGGTTTCGTCTTTGAAGACTTCTCAGATGACGAACTTCGCAAAATCTTCAACCTCAAGGTCAAGAGCCAGGGTTACCAAACGACTGAGTCTGGAACCAATGTAGCAATGGAGATCCTGAAGAGGGCGCGAAACCGACCCAACTTTGGCAATGCGGGAGAAGTCGACATTCTTCTTAACGACGCGAAGGCCCGTCACCAGAAGAGGTTCTCCAAAGGAGAAGCAAGTTCGGCTGACCTGCTGGAACCACTGGATTTTGATGAGGACTGCGACCGGGCGGAGAGAGCAGAGACCAACATTCGGAGTCTTTTCGAAGGTACGGTTGGTTGCGAGCAGACCGTGTCACTGCTTCAGGGCTACCAAGACACGGCCCGCACACTGAGAGCTCTGGGTATGGACCCGAAGCAGAATATTCCCTTCAACTTCCTGTTCCGAGGGCCCCCAGGCACCGGCAAGACCACCACAGCCAAAAAGATGGGCCAGGTGTTCTATGACATGGGGTTTCTCGCCACGTCAGAGGTTGTCGAGTGTTCCGCAACGGATCTCATCGGCCAGTATGTCGGGCAAACCGGGCCAAAGGTTCAGCAGCTTTTGGATAAAGCCCTGGGAAAGGTGCTCTTTGTCGACGAGGCTTACCGTCTGGCTGAGGGACACTTCGCGAAGGAGGCAATGGACGAGCTAGTGGACTTGGTGACCAAGGAGAGGTATTTCAAGAAGCTGATCATCATTCTGGCGGGCTACGAGGCCGATATTAACCGTCTTATGTCGGTCAACTCGGGCTTGACGTCCCGTTTCCCGGCCACGGTTAACTTCAGAGCGCTCACGGCTGACGAGTGCATCTCGTTGATGCTCCAGCTGCTGACGACCCAGAAGGACGCTCTGAAAGCGAAGGGCAAGGAGTTGGATCTGACCTGCCTGGAACGACCCACGGAGCAGTTCCGGCGGGTCTTGCTCGGCGAGTTCACAAAACTCGGTGCACAGCAAAGCTGGGCCAGCGCTCGGGACGTGCAGGAGTTGGCAAGGGCAAGCTTCAACAGAGTTCTCGGTGATAAGGAAGGCCTTGCCAGAGGTGTCCTTGCACTCAATGAGAATGCCATCGTCGAGGAGCTGCAAGCGATGTGGAAGGAGCGGGAGTCCAGGGCAAGCTCCGCCAAACCCGCGACCTTGGATCTAGGGGATATCTTCCAGTTACAGAATGCGCCGACCCCATGCGCAGCTGGACCTCCCAAGATGTCGACTGCCATCTCCACGACGCAAGCCACAGCCAAAGACCCAGAAGACGGGGATGAGTCACCCGGGGAACCTCAGCAGCCGGTCCAAGACGCTGCGATGCGCGCTGAAATTGACAACGGCTACCGACCAAGACATGCTCAGCGCGACGCGGGCGTGAGCGACGAGGTCTGGGAGCAGTTGCAGCGCGACCGTCAGGCTGAAGAGGAGCGAGAGGAAGAGTACCGACGCCTTCAAGAGGCGGCACGCAAGGCGACGGCTGATGCCAGGGAGAAGATTGTCACACGGCTGCTTGAGGAGAAGAAGCGGAGGGAGATGGAGGAGGCTGCGAAAAAGAAGCTGATGGAGATGTGTGCCTGTCCGGCAGGGTTCAATTGGATCAAACAGAAAGGGGGATATCGTTGTGCTGGCGGGTCGCATTGGATGAGTGATGCGCAGTTGGGCTTTAAGGAGTAAAGTTATCTTTGGACTTAATTAGAGCGCCGTACTCTTACTTACCTGTGGGCAGAGAGAACTTTGAACACAGATTGTTCGAGCTCACGGAGTGTGTTTTACAGTAGCGGTCGGTTACTTCGAATGTACTGTACAGTACTGTACTGTATGTACACTACGTACTTCGTACTGTAACTACCTAGGCCCCACAGGAGCCTCACGCCACACAACCGTTGAGACGCCACCGCACTGCAGGGCCCTGATGGTACAGTATAGTACCACAGTGAGTAGGAAATTACACAAATTACACTGGGTATGGGGGTACAGTAATTATAAGCTTACCATTAACGTCGGGTTACTATTGTAATTTTCAATGCCTGTTTAACTCTGCCAGTCGCCAACGCGATGGGGCATCATCCCGATTCGTCCCATGACGGCCAACTTCTGAAGAGGTGCAGTTGCTAGTAGCAATTGCGACGTCGATTCGCGACCCATGCCACAGAACCTTGTGCCGCGGTGAGATGGGGTACATTAGAGGGTGGCGATGGCGATCGCGTCGTCGCAAGATGGCCATTGATCGTCGCGTCGCCCGGCTTCTTCTCATAACTGCCGTGTTTCTGTTCGCCGTGTTCGTTTTCGAGCCGTTCCGGGCAGGCCCGGCGTCCTCTCGCGGTCCCTTTCCCGTTCCCGCCCCCCATCGACCGTCGCCAGAACAAGAACAAACAACCGTACAGGCAGGGAAGGGATCCAGCCAACTTGGAGGCCCAAAGATCCAGTTCCGAGCAAGCAGCTTCGATTGGACCTCGGTGCGCCAACACCACTCCGTTTCCAGTATCCGTCCGCTGCCCACGGGCACACCAATCCCCCTCAATCGCGTCCAATACGGATTCCCCGAATACACCCACGATGCTACAACCAAGAAGCGCCAGGATGCGGTGCGCGCTGCGTTCGTACGGTGTTGGGACAGCTACAAGCAACACGCATGGCTGCGAGACGAGCTGGCACCCGTTCGGGGTGGGGGAAAGACTACATTTGGTGGTTTCGCGGCGACTTTGGTGGACGCGCTCGATACTCTATGGATCATGGACCTGCGGGAAGAATTTTATGCCGCCGCGGCCGCTGCCGCCCAGCTGGACTGGGCAAATACAACCGACACTAGCCTCAACCTCTTCGAGACCACGATCAGACACCTGGGCGGCCTTCTCAGCGCCTACGATCTGAGTGACGAACCCGCATTACTAGAAAAAGCAAAGGAGCTGGGAGACATGCTCTACATGGCCTTTGACACCCCGAACCGCCTGCCCGGCTTCTGGTTCAACTTCGAGGACGCCAAAAGCGGCATCCAAAAGGCAGGAACCAGCGACCCGTCCGCATCACCATGCTCTCTGTCGTTAGAGTTTACCCGTCTCGCTCAACTAACAGGCGACGCCAAGTTTTACGACGCCATCAGCCGCATCACCGACTTCTTGGAACGAACTCAAAGCCAGTCACAGCTTCCTGGTATGTGGCCGAAGTTGATCGATTTCCGCGACGAACGCGTCGACAAGGAGGCAGGTTTCAGCATCGGTGCCCTGGCCGACTCGCTCTACGAATATCTACCTAAGATGGCCGCCCTGCTCGGCGGACGCTTGCCGAATTACGAAAAGATGCACCGCGCCGCCATGGACGTGGTCGCCAAGCACCTTCTGTTCCGGCCTATGCTCCCACCGACCACCAAACAGGAAAGCCGCGATATCCTCTTTGCAGGCGACGCGTTCGTACACTCAGACTCAGACCGGATCGAACTCGTCCCTGAGGGCCAGCACCTGTCCTGCTTTGCCGGGGGCATGTTTGGCCTCGGCGGCAAACTATTCAATATCCCAGAGCACGTTGCCATTGGCGAGCGCCTGGCGCGTGGCTGTGCATGGGCGTACAGCGTGTTTCCGACCGGCCTAATGCCCGAGATCTTTGAACTCATCCCCTGCGATTTGATAGAAGGACCTCCTTGTCCGTGGGACGAGAAACGGTGGCAGAAGGAAGCTGGCGACAAGAAGCTGGCCAAGGGCTTCAAAAACGCGCGTGATCCCCGGTATATCCTACGACCCGAGGCCATTGAGAGCATCTTTTTGCTCTATAGGATGACCGGGAAGGAAGATCTCCGTGACGTAGCCTGGAGCATGTTTGAGTCAGTCATGAAGGCGACCAAGACGCCTCTTGCTAACTCGGCTATTGCTGATGTGACTGTTGATGGTGAGACCAAGAAGACGGATTCGATGGAGGTAAGGAATTCTCGGCTGCATCTTTGTTTGCAGACTGCTGACGGCGATGCTACAGAGCTTCTTCTTGGCAGAAACGCTAAAGTACTTCTACTTGATCTTTTCGCCGCCCGACCTCATCAACCTCGACCAATTCGTCCTAAATACAGAGGCACATCCTTTCCGCCGGCCCACATGAGGCCTGTGCCAAACTAAAAATCCATGTATTAGTACGGTATAGACGTAGAGAGCCGTGGAAGGTGGACTGAAAGGGGGTAAATACGATTCTGGATAAGGCTACTTATGCCGAGCACGTAGGCTGGCCGGTGAAGTCGCACACAATACGCGGCTAGTACCCAGGGCCACCATCACCACGCCAGCTACCGGTATGGCCCATTCTCTTCGCCAAAAGTCTAATGCTCGTAGTCATCTTGCCGCGGACTTTGCATCCCTCCGCAAGCGCCCTCCTCATCCGCCTGACTTGTTCCCTTTCTCAAAATGGGAAAGTTGGGCTGCAATGGGAAGGAGCTATATGTATGTACTTCACCCACTCAGCCTAGCTGCGTGTCATTTATGACGCCCATTCGACAGAAGTCCGCTCTCTTAGAGTTTTTGCGCGGCCGCCAGAGTGGCTCAGTGGCCCGAGTGTGCCGGAACCAGTCGAGCGGACCCCGACCTGCCTAGCCCCGCTCCGGACCCACAGCGGCTTCTCCCTCGCACGCTAGCAGCCCTACAAGGCTCCGGTCCCACTTAGCTCGGACTCGGGGAGCATAAGGGTCCTGACTTGACGTCACTCCCCTCCACCGCCCCTGATCCGGCGAAATAAATAGGGGTAGCAGCTTAAAACTGTCCCGGTGTTTGGCCGCATTCAAGTTCTACACTGCAGATTTTAGGAAATACCATCAGTCACTTCAATCTTTCTTCTTCATCAACGTGAAACGGCCACGTGCGTGGGCTCTGCCAAATCTCAAGCCCCAGGTTCCCCTCATACGCCATCTGCCTTCTGCCTGATCGACCGAACCTTCATACATCCAACTATCTGGGGGGTATAGTTTGACGAAGCGGACCGTATTTCCGCTCAGGACCTGACCATGGATCGCAAACCTGTCGACAGTGTCGCTGCCGCCGCCATCAAATAGCGTCGCGTCCTTGTCAAGCACGCTGAGCAACTTCTTGCTTGCCACACCACCGACCTGGAAGGAGGTGGGGTAGCGAACTCCCCCGTGCCACGAGTGAGTGTATGTGTATTCTCCTTCCCACTCCCCAACGAGCGCATTCTCCCACCATGCAAGATCCTGCGACTTCTCTCCAGCATCCCGGATGCTGAATTTGTCCTCACTCCCACTGCCGGTTGACTCGATTTGTTGTTCTGCAGCCTCTCCTTCGAGCGCACCATGCGCAATTAGCATCCTTGTCAATTCTGTCCGGCGCATCCCGCCACGCCCGGCAGTAGTCTCAATTGCCGCAAGTAGCTTCGGACCATCCCTAGCCTTTCGGCCGCTCTCTAGCATCAAGGCTACCAACTCGCGGGAATCTTGCAAAATGGCCATGAGAAGTGGTGTGATAGTCTCGGACGGATCTAGCCGCCGAGCCCCTCGGAAGCGCACCGGTCGGTGCACATCTGCACCGCGCTTCAGGAGCAGTGACACGATATCGGAATCGCGATTCGCGACCGAGACAGGCAGCATGGCATCGACAAGGACCATATCGACTTTTGCATAGGACCCCCAAATTTTGTGCAGCACCATGTCTGTTTGGGTAGTGGCGCCCCATTGGCTGTTCCTGATGATCTCTGCCTCTTCCTCAGACCAAAGCGACTGTTCGTCAACGACGTCCGTATCGTCCACAGTTTTGACGTCTCTGCGCATGTGGTCTACTAAGCCAGCAAAGAGACGCTGTGATTCTCCCTTGAGGGCGAGCTCCATAATGTCTCGGACTAAGTCTCCGGAAAGTGCTGGTTGCCGAAGGCCCTCGACCAGTAACTCGAGTAAATCCTCGTAGCCACTGTCTCCAGCCAGGGTGAGTACCTCCAGGAGGATGGTAGTATCCTCGGCGCGAGGGAACTCTTGCCTGACGAGAAGCTCTAAGACGTCTCGGGAGCGACACCGCATCGCGATCTGGAATGGGGTGGGAGCGGAACCGTCATCTTGGGGAAATGAAGCACCATGGCTTAGCAGGAGTTGGGCGACCTCAGAGGCATTTCTTTCCGCCGCGAAATGTAAGGGTGACCAGCCGTAGTCATCCCCCGCTTCTACGTCGACCTTGGGTTGGTCAAGCAGCAGCTGTACTAGAGGTTTCGATGATTCCTGGCACGCAATATGAAGCGCCCTTTCCCCCCATTTGTTAGCCAGATTCGGATCGGCATTGTGCTGGAGGAGGAGTTGGGCCATGTCTACACCCGCAGATCTGATTGCGAACATTAGTGGCGTCTCCTTGTTCCACGCTTGCTCGTTAACGTCGGCACCATTGTTGAGAAGAAACTCAACCACCGGGTGATGGTTCAGGGTGACAGCGCGAATGAGCGGGGATCTTCGAACTCTAGACCTTTTAGCCTTGATGCTCGTGTCGGCTCCAGCCTGGACGAGTCGAGTTACCATGTCGAGCGACCCAATCGCGCACGCATGGTAGAGAGCAGTTTTGCCCTCACTATCGACTGCGTCCAGGCCTCCGCCCTTTGCAGCTTCGACGAGCTGGCCGAGGATGTCAACCGAACCGAGGAGAACGGCGGCGATTAGCGGCGTTCCGTACTTTCCGCCTTGTTGTGCAGGATCCGCCTTGTGAGCGAGAAGCGCCTTCACAGCCGCCGTCTGCCCATATACGACAGCCGCTTGGAGGGGACACCCCAGCTCGCCGCCCGCGAGCTTGCAGTCTTTACCGTCATTGACCAAACGGTCTATGATTTCCGCGAGACCCAGCATTGCCGCGTAATACACCGGAGATGGACTGATCGCGGGGACCTTCCTAGCCAGGGTCGTGATCAGGGACCCCTCGACCTCGGAGCCGCCCAAATACGACCCGTATTCAGATTCGTCTGCGTCGCTGCCAACGTTGGAGTCGGCTTCGAATTCGTTGGCATCGCTGCCAATGTAGGATTCGGCTTCTGAAGCGTCCGCGTCCAGGCTTTCGTAGCCGCTGTCCGCACTCTTGCCCCTCTCGGGACGGAGTGCCAGTTCAGTCACTTCAGTGGCATCACGGCTCCTTTCGTGGCAATGTTTCTCAAACAGCTCCGCCCATAGCCGCCATGAGTTAGTGCTAAAAAGACGCCAGACGGCTTCGCTGGTCTTTGACCTCGTCTTGGAGCCCTCGCCCCAGGCATAGTGTTCACACCAGTTGCTCCCTGTGTATGAAAAGAAGGGATACCTCTGAAGAAAACCGGTCACCGCACGGGCCGGTCCATTTTGGGATGCGTCGTCAAATTCGTCGTAACACATGTATCGGAGGCAGAGCGTCGCAATCCAGTCGTGCTCGGTATTTGGTGCCCCAAAGCAGAGTGTCCTGTGACTCATGTCCGGCTCTTTGAAGCACCGTTGCTTTTGCTGCAAAAATTCCCCGACGGAGAAATGGACAAATTCAACGGTGCACTCCCCCAGCGGCGTGTCCTCACATGTCTTGCGCACATCAACAAGTGAACCGCACGGCATGCGGATGTAGTTTTGAACCCATTTCTCGCTGACGCTGGCTTCAGCGAAATCATCGGGAAGATCGTCATGGGGGTAACCCTCTCCTTCGTCGTTGAACGTGACAGCAAGCGCCTCGGTTAGCTCGCGGACTGTCAATGGCCGGGAAGCATACAAAATCCACTTCATAATCGTGACAGCGCGATCGATGTGGTGATTCTTTGGATCCAGAATTTTGTCGAGCTCAGCCTTGTATGCGTCGTACACCTCAACGGGCGTCTTCTCCACCAGCTTTCTGAGCTCTTTCCTGGTAGCGCCCTCTTGCAGGTTTTTGTTGAGAAGGGCTATCCACAAGAACATCCCCTTGCTTTTGCTGACGGCATCACTGGCCAAGTCGCTTACAGCCTTGTTCTTACCCACTTTGCTCTCAAAGATGGCTTTCGAGTAGGACGATAGGTCGTCTTTTGTGTCGTCCTCGGTGATCTCATGTTCGATGAAGTCTAGTGCTTGGAAGTCTACCCCGTGCGCCTTTCTCAAGGCGGCCTCAATGTCCGAGTGACGGCGACTGACCAACAGCACTCGAACTCCGGTGCCCCGGATTGTATCGGCGAGTTTCTTAATAAAGTATGGTCTTCTTGGCTGTGTACAGGCATCGTACTTCGACTGTTCAGGCCCCGCGTTTTCGCATTCATCATAGCCGTCGATCACGAGAGTCAAGCGGGCATCTCGGGTCATCAGCTTGGAAAAAAGCTCCCAAAGGGAATCCTCGGCCTCCGATGTAACGGTTCCGCAATCCATACTCTGCAGCGCGAATTCGTCCTCCGTGACCATGTCCACTGCGTCGTCCGCCTTCGCGACCAACTGCCCGATCCACGACTTGAGGATAGAGAATGGGTGCTTCCGGAACTTGTGTTGACCTGAACAGTGGAAAACATAACTCGGCCGTAGCATGCCTTGTCTTCTTGCATCGAGCGGATCACTGTTGCGCAAAGAACCGACTTGCCGAACCCAGCTGGTGCATGAACCCAGAGGAGTTTGGCCACCGAGGACTGGTAGTGAGACCACTGTGCGAACTTTGGATGCCTAAGAAACCAGTCGCAGGTGGTGCCGTGCCGAGAGTTGAGAGCCCTCATTTGGGCATCGTCGGTGAATGTCGGGAGCAGCCACTTAAAGATCCGATCCCGCTGTTGTTGGATCGCATTTGGCCGCATGAGATGTTTGGAGAACTCCTGAAGTCGCGAGAGAATCTCGCGATGCCTTTTTTTTTCTTGCGCATCGATAGCTAAGCAAGAACATGAATATTAGCTAACAAATCTTTCAAGGACAATTGTCGATGTATCCAACGCATTGAACGCACCGTCGCTCAGTACTTACCTTGCAGTTTTATCTCGGTTGACAGGCGGTAAACTTCGGCTATCTTGGGCGAAATACCGTCGACGAGGTCTTTGACGGCATTCTGAAGCCGCTGGAGGACGTTCTTTAGCCATCGAACTATATGAGAAGAGCAAAGCGGAGCGTCAGTAATGATCTACAGTAATCAGTCATTGAATCGCCAGCGCGAGGTCAAACATGTCGCGTGTAAGTTGAACCGTTGAAGGGGGCATTCACAACAACCGGAATCCTTATGGCTGAAGTATTTCTTTGCCGTGGCCAGAAACTTCAACACAGTGGTGTAAGTGTCGACGACTGTGCGGGCTATTTCCGTCCTGAGCCCTGAAAGCTCTGCGACGGGCAAGCTCTTTTCCACTTCTGCCATCTGAAAGATGGCGCGAGAGGTAATTTCGAGACCATCGGCCAGCTTAGAGTATACCTCAAAGTCGCCGATGGTGATCTGAACAGAGCCCCGGTGTCAGCGCGTCGCATTGGTAATTAGCTAAGTTAGCCAACGGCGGGAACGGATGCATACCTCAATGAGGAGTTTTACACCTGCCCAAGGGAGAGCTGCGTGCATGGGGTCAAAGCTGACTGCGATATCCCCAACCCTTTCGAACCTCCTGACCCAATGTGCTACCTTCTCCAGCACGTCTTGAACCTTCACCTCAGTCCCATCGTGTCGCTTAAACAGGGTCCATTTCCTTTTATCGCAATCGCTCTTTTTTCTCTTGATGCTCTCTATGAGCCGAGCAGCATCGATGCGTCCGGATCTGTTCAGTGTGTTCAGTTCCAACAAGGTCGCCCTATCACTCTCGTCAAGTTGGCGGAAAGATTCGTCCCATCGCCCGAAACGTGCACTTTCCCTCGCTCTTAGGGTCGTCATCAGCCTGTGAATGAACACGAAAAGTGGTTGTATAGGGCAGGGAAGGAGTCAAGGAGCGTACTTGCCTCCACCGTGTTTGCCAGCGTTGGATGACCACCCTTGCCCTCGCGATCTGCTCGATGGTGAGTCTACGACCAGAGTCCTCCATTCGTTGAACAACTGCAGTCCAGGGAGGTGAATGATACGATTGAATCCGGCGGCTTCCAGTAGGAAGAAGAGTATAATTAAGTCGCCTGCGCTGTTCACAAGCGTTTCATCAAGATCTGGACACCGGCTCGGGGAGCCCTGATCGTAAGTATCCTGAGGGGTCCAGCTGAACACTTTAGCGCCCGATCGGGTGCGTCGTCGGCAGCCATGGAGGCCTCAGTTGGCAAGAGGCTGAACTCTGCCCCTGTTATCCGTACCTACCCCGAGTCAATTTACATATGCGGAGGTCTAGTTAGCAGGTGTGACCCGAGCGTGACCGGCCGAGATTAGACGTAGCGGGGCGTTGCTGGAAGGAGGCGTAACTTGAAGGTTTCCCAAACCAATTGAGTCGCGGCAGGGCAATCTGGTCTGAAACCAACTTTGTTTGCTATCACCCTGCAGATCTACGTGTACAGAAAAAACACCACTCTTTATTTGACCCATCCAGTCCAGTCCACTCCCCCATCTTCGTGTTATTTCACTGGACGACAGTGTATTGCCCTGGATGAGAGAATGAGGCGAGAATACCCGAGCTCCCTTCCACCTTCTAGGCTTCTACACTTAAAGTGCAACAATCCTTTCCAAGACGCACTGAATTCACAGGCATCCTTCAGACAATTTCACGGTCTGTGTAGCTAATGTTTACCGGAAAGTTAGTCTTAGCCTTAGTGACGACTGTTCTCAGCTTCTTAATATCCTAAGCTAGCTAGAAAGTAAGACCGGACTCCGCGGCTCTGGGCCCTGCTCCATGTAGAATTGTCTGCCTCGTATTGCAACAAAGACCGTGAAAATAGACCAAGTTCGCCTTTCTTTCACTTCTGGTTCAGTCATCATCATCAATCATGTAATATTTTCTCCCTTTGCGGCTCCATTGGCCCAACCAAAGACGGCAGGTGTCCTCAGATACGTCAGCGTATCCACCCCGGATCTTGATCCAACGCGATACGGATATGAGGTAGAAACACGCAGCCGGTTACTTCCCCGTCTCCCTGAGACCCCAGTCCGGCTCCAACCTGCTCCAACCAGCATCCAAAGGATCCAACAGCTCCTCGCTACCTTCGCACATGCAAGCTGCCTACTCGGCCAAGACCAAGCCACTTCAGCTTGCCTCCTCCTCCGCCACCACCAGCACCGGCAGCACTTCCACCAAGAGATGCACCGCCACCACCAATCTCCGAACCTTCAATGCTGCCGCTAACCGACTTCCGTCCGGACTTGTTGTTGTTATTGTTGTTGGAAACAGGAATGTTCCCCCCGACCGAGGTAGCAGCGCCACCGCTCGCCGGGAAATCCACACCTCCTCCTCCGAGAGGAACTCCGCCATCCTCGTCGTGCTCGGCCCTGTTGCCGAGGGCACTGGTATGGGAAGCTGCAGTCGCCTTGTTTCTGAGGATGGGCGGCGGCGTGACGCTAGCACGGTCGTCGTCGTGGACAAGCGAGCTGCGGCGCACCCACGAAGGCATGCCCACAAGCGGAGCAGCCGAAGGCGTCTTGGAGTTGGTTTCAGTAGCCGGCGGAGAGTTTAGGGGTGGTGGAAAGACTTGAGTGCTGTCCGCGGAACCCGTCGAGCGGCGGAACAGCCCATTCAGCCCGCGAGACCGGGGACGGGACGTCTGGCTGGATGGTGGGTAATGCCGCTGCTTTGGGAGAGGCTGTGACTGTGCCTCCTGGTTGTGGTTTGGGGGTGGTGAGAAGTGTGTCTGCTTAGGTGGCACCGTCATCGATCGATCCTGTGCCAGGCCCATTTCCTTCAGCTGTCGCGTAGGTGGTCGAGCGTCAGCGTTGCTATTGCTTCGGGCTCTGCTACCCCTGGCCGATCCCTTCTTAAGCGGGGAGGACATCGGTGAAGTCGATTGAGGAGTGTTGTCATATGAGACCGATCCGTTTGCCCCTGTCACCCCGGTCCTGGCAAGGAGGCTCGAGCGGCGATTCGGAGGTGGTGGAGCCGTGTTGCCAGCAACAAGGCTGGCAATCAGGCGGTCCGAGTCCAGGGTTGGCGACGGTATCGACCTGCCAATGGCGTCCAACATGTCCGCCATTGGACTGGCTGGGGAGGCCCTTTCATTAGCACTCAGGACACCCGTCCCATGGAGCGATCCAAACATGGCGTTTGCCGCCCAACCGGCCGAAGAGCTGGGAAAGGAGAAGAGGTCCGGCGAAATTCGGCCAGATCCCGAGGCAAGGTGTGTCTGGGATACCGAACTCGCCGGATCTACAGCGTCTAGGCTGGGTGGCCTGAGGCTCTCGCGCATCCATGTATCGAGGCTGTTGGCAGGCGAATGCCGGGGTTTAGCGGCTTCCTCGATGGACGTGGGTCGGAGGGCGCCGCCGTTGTCATTTGGTGTGTTCCGATCCTTGGACAAGGTCTCATTTGAGCCCTCAAACCGGCGCAAGGTTGAAGTGGACATTGTGTCAGGGGTTGGCGGGAGGCCCCTGGACTGCTGTAGTTCGTTATTGATTCCCAGTGTAAGGACCTTGTGCAAAGCTTGCCGCTTTTCTTCCTTCGTTCTTGGTTTGGCTTGTGAGGTGGAACGGCCGGCAATGGCTGGGTGGTTTCTATTATGGTTTGTGCTCGGAAGTGAAATGTGTACCTCCGGCGCATCTTTCATCATTGCACCTTCCACACCAAGCTTCTCGAGCCGTTGGAGAGGGGATGAGCCAATATCCAGAACATCACTGATGTTGCGGAACTGGCTAGACCCGTTTCCGGCGCTATGTGAGGCTGGTAACCGGGGGGACCTGCTTGGTGTATCCTCGAGCATTTGTTTGCGTTCGTCATTGGCTGCCGAAATCGCTGGATGACTATCGTCGGTCTCATGGTTGCTGGTTGTCCTATTGCGACCATAAATGCTGACGAACGAGCTCTCGCTGAGGATGCTCGGCACTGGGCTGTCCAGTCTATGCTGGATGCGTGTAGTCTCGGGCGTCTCTTCGACGGAACATGGCAGACTAAGAATACTGGACTCACGAGCATTGAGGTAGACGTTGCGGAGATTCTCTGTCTTTTCCACTGGCTCTCTGACAAAGCTGGGGGTGCGCATGAGTTTTTTGAGCTCTTCGCCTTTTGATAGCTCTGGGATGGCCATGTTTTGGGTGCGGGCCGCAGGCGTTTTGGTCCGAGAGAATGGAGAGGCGTCGGCCTCAACCTGGCGGACCATCTCCCTCTCACGCAGCAGCAGGTCAATCCGTGCCTCGAGGCCCACAATCATGGCGACTGCCTCCTCCAGTGCCTTATCCCGTTTCTCGATTTCGTGGACAAGCCTCTCATTTAGCACCTCAGACTCCAACTTCTCGCTCTCCAACCTCCCAAATCGCTCCTCGAGCTCCTCGAGACGCTCTTCCATGGCAGTCTGCTTCTCGCGCCGATGGTAAAGCTCGAGCTTGAGGTCAAAGTTCTGTTTATGCAGGGTAGACAAGGTGTGCTCCATCTCCTTGATTGACCAGCCCTTCTTGCTCGTACCGCCGGTTTCTCCACTGGACTCTGGCCTCTGTGCCTCGGTTGGTGACAGGCTCTGCACGACTCTGGTGCTCGCGGAGGCGATCGTCTCGTTGTTCACCGGGGAAAAGGCATGCCGACTCTTCGGGCGCCGCTCACGTTCGAGCCTTTCTTGTAATAGGCTTGACACGGTTGGAAACGACTGTCCCGCCCGAGCGCCGTCGGTCAACAGACCAGATTTGCCGATGCCGTCCATTTTGGCCGGACGGCAGGTGGGAGCACCGTTGGTCTAGTCAACTCAGCGGAGACGGCAGAAAGTAAGGATACGGTTTAGAAAGTCGAAGCCCATAAACTCGGGTGAATTGCGTCCCAAAGCGCGAAGTTTCGATTGCAGCTCTTGTTCGTTGGAGTGGAAGTGAGCTGGTAGGAAACTGTCGAGATTATGGAAGCAGCAGTCATCGGAGGTAATACTGGACTGGGTGGGAACTGTTCTAAGTGGAGCCAGTTCAAGTGGAACAACCCCCTGCAAGGCCCAGCTCAAGCGGCATGACCCCTGTAAGAGGCCTGTGCAAGACTGCAAGTCAACAAGCTCTTCCATTCTGTCTTCCCTAACGTTAGCTCCCGCAAACTGACAGATGTGCCTAACCTTAAAAGACAAAACTGTACTCCAAAGCGTCTCTAAGGTGACGCGTCTTCCACTCGCGTCGAGTACATATACATTGAGGTCTCAATCCCGAAGTCTTTGAGCGAGCCAGAAGGGCTGGAGCCCACGCATCGCAGTCTGCCTGAAGGAAGAGAATTGCCAATGGCTCCCAAAAAATGATCCCAACCACGCGGGATGAAGAGCTTCCTGCCAATCATGAGGCGTATCACTCGGTCCCAAGGTTCTGGAAGATGGTTCCGTCTGCAGGCACTAGTCCAATTTTAGCGTAGCCCCACGGCACCTGGAGCAGGCCCGCAATGGAAAAGGGGTCAATGCCAAGGCACCCTCATTTGTCCCCTTTTCGTTGTTTGCAGTTGTCTCCGTCCGCAGCAGGTCACGAGCAGAACAACTTGGACAGCTTCGAGCCTTCGACTGCAAGGTAGCCGAGAAATGTGAAAGATGGGTAGGTACCTAATCGGCGTTACTACGGATCCAGCACCAGGCCTGATCCTACCAACGAGCGTAACGTATATGCCCAGCGCTCCATTGGAATCTCTCGAATGCAAACCCCGCATCAACATTCCATAACTCACCTCACATAGGTATGTATGTCCGTCTCATAGGCAGTTTGTGGTTTTGGGTGCTTGTTTGTCCCAAACGGATTCCAGCAGGTGCATTGCGGGCAGTCAACCAATAATTGCGACTTCGGGTGGAATATTGCTTCCAGTTCGTCACCCGTTCTGCAATCCGGTTGGCGGTCCTTTCCCCGTCTGCGGCCTGCACCATGCACGCCATGCTGCGAACCAAACATCATTTGAATCAATCAGGCGGTCAATTGGTATCTGCATACATAGGTAATGGTGTGAACAGCAATCTGAAGGCTGTTGCAGCGCAAACTTCTGAGTTTGCAGCACGAATTTAGCCAACATTGTTGCGCACATCAGTCATTGACCGCAAGGTCGTCAAACGGGGCTCCCGTCTTCTCGCTGATGACCTTCCTGGTGAGCTCCATCAAACTGTCCGCCAATTCATCGCTTTGCGCTAACTCGCTTCCAGGCTCGGGAATGGCGGGCGGGCAAATATACTGGCCCGACTCCTCTGTCGTTGTCACCGCGTAGACGGTCGGAACAGCGCCCTCAAATTGGTCCTTTTTGAAAGGCTCAATGCCATGAGACATGGCATATCCAGCCAGGGGAAACCTGCAGCCGAGGATTAGCAGGCTTCGGCCCAGATGCTAAAAGAAGAGAGACCTACGCATCGAAAATGTCGGTTCTGCTCTGCTTCGAGCTCACGAAACCCGGGTGCGTCGCGTTCATGAGCAAGTTTGGAAAGCCGTTTCTTGTCACTTTGCGGGTGAAATATCGCGCGTACAGAATGGCTGCCAGCTTGCTCCGGGCGTACTGCCCATTCGGTCCCAGATCTCGGTTGATCTCCTCCAGAGTCGCAAACTTGGTGTCGCTGGGTGCCTTCTGGTGCAGGTTGCTCGACTGGTTGCTGATCCGGACAATGGCCCCATTTTCTGCTGTCCGCTTCATCAGCGGCAGCAGATGGCTCGTCAGGATCACATGGCCCATGTGGTTGACCGCCATGTGCCGGTCAACCCCGTACGATGTCATCTCGGCCGGCATGATACCCCTTCCGGCGTTGTTGACCAGGATGTCGAGCCGCGGCGCGTCGCGCTTGATGTTCTCGGCGACCTCCTTGACTCTCATCCAGTTGGCCAGGTCGCACTGGATCCAAACCGTACGATCTGCTTTGTCTTGGCCGAGTTCCTTGGCCATGACATCCTTGGCACCCTCAACAACCTCCTTGGAGACGGAGAGGATGTAGAGTTTGGAAATATTGTGCTTCAGCAGGGTGTAAGTAACACCAAACCCAATGCCCTCGCTACCTCCGGTCACGACGGCCACTTTATCAGATAGATCCGGACACTCATCGAGCTTGAATTGCCGCGAACCCAACTTTGAAACCGGCCCACCAAAGTTCTCGGCCAGTGTATCCTATAAGTAATTAGTTTTGCCGCTCTCGTCTTATCCAAAACTCGGTCCCGATCAGGCTACCTTTATGGTTTGCATGCTTGGTATGCTGCTGTATGGCGATCTATTATGCGAAGGTAATTTGCAGCCCGAAAACGTTGCGTACAACGGCGACCCCTGACTGACACTGAGCTGTGATGTGCACCTTCTAAAGCAGGGGGATACAACAAGGATGCGGACGTTCAGCCCACGACCCACCATTTTTCGTGTGAAATGTGAATGGTCAGAAATCTAGATAATGTTGTGTACTTTGGTGGTTGTGCTAATTAATATGATTCGAGCTTCTATGATGTCTTATCCCGCTCTCTTAGTATGCTTCTGTATGACGTCCTCATTACCGCGTCAATGTGGGCCCCTTATTGTCTCCAGGTCTTTTCTCATGAGTAAGCCAAGGACTTACTTGCATATTTGTGCCACTACTCAAGCCCTAGCATACATTGATGATCTTTTGAGGCTTGCGGTTCCTTCCATGGCCCATACCTTTCATGCACTCAATGCCTGAGCAATTACAGGTTACCATCTGGTACCTAAAGTAGGTAGGCAGTCTGCGAGACGGCTCGGGGTGCTCAGCTTCAAGGCAGAGCAATCAATTGAGCACAGCAACCAAATGGGCAGAGCAACCTGTCCTGGCTGCGCCTTTTCTGTATGTCATCGCTCCTGCCTCCTTAGCAGTGAAAATGTGGGAAGGTGACACACAGTTGCGTGTTTTTTGCGCATTCCAATTCAATTGGCCATCCCGTGCTCCTTCCTTGTAGGAACGACTGCAGTACTCGCTCCAATCGCCCAGCTTCCTGTTCATTTTGGGCCCTCCTGGGTCTCTTTGGATTCCTTTTCCTTCCCATTTCCTATATCAGGTTCCATTTCTCCCCCGAAACTTTACGCATAGCCTCCACCTGTGCTGCCATCGTTGGTCATATGCAGGTCAGGAACTCAGGATCGGAAGCAACAGACTCAGTTGTCACTTTTTGGACAGAATGATCGACGGCTCACGTTACTACCTTGATTAAAACGAGACGAGGCTGCGAAGGAAGTAGTATCGCATCTGAGAGTCCTGCAACCCAATTACTAACTTGAAAGATAGAGGTGTTGTACTGCAGGACACATCCATGCAGTTGGCCCTGGACTGAGACGAATCAGAAACTTGGAGAGTCCAGAGCCTCGCCAAAGATCTGCAAGACGACCGCTAGCCCCCTCACGCCATGCAGTGGTTCTTGACAAAATATGCAATACTTGCAGAGGCTGAATACATCCGTCCCGTCATTGGAGGGAGCCCGAGTCCTGGTCGGGGAATGCGGTCTGTTTCCGGGAACCTGTGCCGAGATGGCGTCCTTCAGCCCTCTCACAGCTACGTTGGATATTCTGGTGGTGTCGACTGGAATAGGTGTTATAAATCCCTTCCCCGGGTTGTGATGCGCGGAAGGTAAGCCTGCCGTTGGTGATACCCCACAAGCAAGTAACCGACGCCATCGATGATGGCTCGACTAGACAGACAACCTGCCCGTGCAGCTTCGTTCCCGCCGCCTAAGAGTCGCCATTCTTCGTGGCCTGTATTCCATCGGCCCAAACCTTCGGCCTTTGATCCAGAGCTTTCTGAACCCACCTGCCTCTCAGCGATTCCACATGGTCCAGAGGCCATCAGCGACCATGTGAAGCACTACTTTGGGTGCATTGAGATCGCCGAGCGTGATAAGTTTCTCGACGCTGAAAACGAAGTATGGACATACGAACGCGGGCTCGAAGCTCAAGCTCTCCGACTTCTGCCCGAAAATGCCTGTGATAGCGACGAGACAATCGAAGAGAAAGCTCGACATCTGGTGCAGAAGAAAATCGAGAATGTGGCCGTGTCCATTGAGGCCCAGTATCGCCGGACTGAGGTATTGCTTATTGCTTTGCGGAAGCCGTCCAGCCCTGGGCAGCCCAGTGAGCCTACGTCCTGCCACGTCCCTTCAAAGCCCACCTCCCTTCCAGCGCACGGCGATCTCGTGGGCTATGTTGAACAGAGTCGGCTCAAATGGAGACGCTCCAAGCGGTATAAGAAAGGGATCGATATGGTTCGCAGATGGAAACGGCGAGAGGCCATACCTGATAACTACGAGGAAGAATCGGACTCTACGGCGGCCGATGACAACCACCTGGAGGAGAGATATAATGCCGAACTTGAACTAGGCGACCAGACAGCCGAAAGGGAACGCGAGCAAGTCAGGCGAATAGCTCATCAACGCCGGGAACGTAACCCGAACTCCGATGATGTAGGCTACGATTTGGAGCACGACGTCAACGCATATGTCATTCAGTACACCCGACAGGTCCGGGCGGCGGATTCAGGAACCAAGCCGGGTGATATCCCTCCGTTGGGTACCGTACTCACGCACTCTCCAAAGATCTTGCCCGCAACGGCATCCGCCTCGACCCGGGTGGCAGAGATGAGTAGGACCTCGACTGGGACAGTGTCCCAAAGTAGCATTCAAGAGACCAGTCTGAGGCCGGTGGATGAAGAGCTGAGGGATACCCGGTTTAAAGGCCGATTCCCAGGTCAGCGCATCTCCATACACGACCTTCTTCGGCGGCCCAGTGAATTGGAGGGCTCCCAGAATGAAATCAACATCCTCTCGAAAAGTAAATGCGCGGAGAAGGACCCAACCAGAATCCGATACGTTCACATTCCATACAACAACATGGAGGTAAGTCTCTTGCCTTGAGCATCGACGATGTGCTCAGAAGTTCGAGAATTTTTGAAGAGTCTGAGCTGACGTATGGCCTGGCGCAGTGGGTTGAGGTACGAAAGTCCTATCCGTGTACTTCACTAAATCTGCCAGTGTACTACTAGTTATACACATGATACACACTAGTACTTATCACTGACGATCTCCAAACAGAAAGTAATCGCAGCCTACTACGACGAGCAGCGGCCTGACCTTGGCATCCGGCACAGAGAGCCTGCCATCAATACACGCACCCATATGCTCCTCCGTCCGCAGTTCTGGCGTGGCCAGCAACACGAAGCCAGGAGCGGGGTTGTCCATGCGAGACACATGCGGCCTCTCTGTGAAATTGTCTCTTCCGGTAAGCACTGCAGTGTAAAGTTGTGCTAGACTCGCTGTTCGCTGACAAGCAGGACAGACTTGGGCGAGATTGAAGATTGTCCAAAACCAAATAACATTGTCCTCTTTGTAAGCAATCTCTTATCTCCCTAATGGCGTACGTGAATACTATAGACTGACACGAACTGACATTACCTTGCAGATGCCGTATCTGCATTGGGAAACTGACCGAATGAGAAGCTCAATAGCAAAGACCATTGATATTGAGTCCGAGAAACAGCGCAGAAAGACTGAAGAGATGAGCATGAAGAGGAGAGCTGAGCGCAGGGACCAAAGAAAGACCCTTCCTCGCGGCGCAACGCGCGTAACGCATTCTGATGAGGATGATCCAGCGGAGCAATTACGTCAGCATGGCCGCCATGGAGCCAAGCTCAGGCCGACCAAAGGCCCGCACGACGTAGCCGATATTGTTCCTCACTTTGTGACGGTAGAACGCAATGGAAAGGACATCAAAATAGGGGAGAATGGCCGGCTCAAAGTCAAGACCCGTCTAGGGCAATATCTCATTGATGCAGCCAGGCTCTTCGAGGCGATGGCCACGTATCGGGACCAGCAGATGGTTGAAAAGTACCTGTACAACGAACCCCCGCTTCATCCACGCCGGACTCTGGACCAAGCCTATTACTGGACTCTCAAGACGACCGTGGCCCGAGACCGCGATCAAGTAGTCTACAGAGGCACTAATATGGATCTGGATTTCTGCCACCGCATGCAAAAGTGCGAGACGGACAGAAACCCTCCACTCAGCCTCCGGGAACGGCTTCAAGCTTTATTGCCTCCTGGGTTGAACGAACTGCTCATTGAAGGCAACAGCCGCAATGACGGCAACACCAAGCCCCTCGTCGATGGCAATGCTGAGAAGGAGACGAAATGGAAGTGGACGGGTCACTTTAAGAAGACGGACGAAGATGGCTGTAAACATTGCCGAGACAATATACGGAAGATTTCACAACTAGTCATGGTGGACCAACTCTGGATGTGGGTTCTCGACGAACAAACAATCATCACTGCATTCCCAAGGCGGTACGGGTTCAACAAAAACGACTTATCTGGCGTCCACAGGTCAATTCGGAGACGGCTTGAATCTGCCCGCCGGAACCAAATCAGATCGGTATATGATTTGGCCCTCATCATCCTCGACGAATGCACGAACACCTTTTTTGACCGGACCAAAACGGTGGTGAGTACTACTCTTTGGAGCAATATCCGCTTTCAGGTTTGAATGTCAAAAGGCACTGGGTTACCCAATCTAACATGGTATAGGACGGCCAACCGCAAGTCATGGATATTTTCTCAGAAGCCATAGGGCATGTGGTAAGTCTTCATCCTAGCCTGGGCCGGTCCATGTTGACATGGTGTTATCATTATCAATAGCTTAACACGATCTGACTCCATGGATGCAGACAAACAAACATACCATATCGTTCCAGCATCTCTGGCATTGGACTGAAACGGCATCGAAGGTCTACCGCTCCACGTCAAAATACATTGACTCGTTCCAGCTACATATGCCTCTCCTTGACATTCACCCTGAAGGCAAGCTTCAACGAGAGGTGAAGGACATTATTGAGGAGCTGGACATTATGCTGCACATACACAAGAAACAGCGCGAAATCATCCGGCGATTCTGTAAACATGTCGAAAATATCCTGGATCCGGAGGGCCAGTGGAAGGATAGTAACTCTGAACGTGCCGATGCCTTGGGGGCGAGTCTGCACAGCTCGGTCCCAAAACTGAATGGCGGAATTAGAAGGAGGGTATCGGAATCAGATACGCGAAAATGGAAACAGCTCGACTGGTTTCGCTTGCAGTCGCGCGAACTACTCTCGGATGTAGACGATCGCATCGACGAGCTAGAGGGATTGAGGAGAGGCGCCGAAAGCACGGCGCAGAGCGTAAGTTTCTATCATATCACCAGACTTGCATGCTACCTTACACACCTCCATCTGACACAGGGTATCAGCTCCATCACCTCCTGTCTCTGAAACAGCAGCAGGCGAGTGTGGTGCAGGCCTGGGAGTCAGTCAAGCAAGGCGAGCAGGCAGTCCGTCAGGGACGGAACATCTTGGTGTTTACCATTATCACCATTATCTTTGTGAGTGGCCATTATCCCCATTCGTTGAGGGCTCGAATCTCACCAGTCGCAGCTCCCGCTGGCATTCATGTCTAGCCTCTTCGGCATGAACAACATAGAGTTTGGCGACAAGACCACAATGACGCTCAATGACCAATTCAAGCTGATGTGTATGTACACTTGTACAGTACCACTCCGGTCGTGCGTTCTCTGTCGTGAACTACTAACATAGTTGAATTGGAATCGTTAGTCCCCATTTCCATCTCCATCATCCTCATTTCGATGCCCATAGCCTTCTCTGCTCTACTTCGGGCAACCCTCTACTCTCTGGCGTCTTACATAACGACGTGGATACTGGTCAAAACTGGAGTGTACCGCGTCTGGCTCAATCTCAGTAATGAGGTGCGTGACAAGTCGCTACTCAGGGCGACGGAAGAGCGGGTGAGGGAGATGAAGGAGGGCGTTCGGATGGCGCGGGAACGGGCCAGGAAGGAAAGAAAGGAAAGACGAGAAGTCTATAATGGTGGAAAGGAGAGTAGTCCGGTGCGGGGGCAGGGTGAGAAACAGGAGTCGGAGGTGACTGTCGAATCCAATGGGTCAACCACAAATGGGCATGCAGGTGTTAATGGAGTTCGGGGTGAACAAATGGTATGAGGCCGGGTATGAGTACTGTACTACAGTCTACAGTCTACTCGGTAGCGGTATTGATAATATCGGCCCCGAATAAGTTGTCCGAGTCTGCAGCGACCACTGTGATACTCCTTCACCTACATGTAGTACCTTATTATTTTCGCACATATTGGTCCCCGGTAGGAGTGCTGCACTGCTGACCACCCAATATAGAATTATACATTATAGGCATGTCCGTGTCCACGGTCAATATCTGCCAGGTGTAGCCTCCATTGCGATGTCAACATCAACCCTTACTGGAATGCGTCGAGGTGAAATGGGTACCTTACCTTACGTAGTAGCTCTTTAGAGCAAAGTTCTGAGCATGAGGCTTAGATCATCTACACAGTAGTATCATGGTCTTCAGCCCTGGTCTTGGCTACATAGCCTAGAGCTTACACGACGGAGGCAACCCTTACCAGCTGATCCTTACTGTCGGTACTCATCGACGCTAGCAATGGCAATGCATTAGTTCCCTTGGTTACATACCGCTTTGCCCCGCTCGGAACCCTTACCGTACCTGTTCTAGGCAAATTGAGACCGATGTATTAGTGGCCCCTGAGTCCCTGACACTTGCAAAGCCATCCAGACGTGACGTGGCTGTCTAACTTGCTGTGGAATTGATTAAAGAATGGCAAAAGAATGGCAACGTAAGGATTGAGGTGGACGCGTAAAACGGATGGGTTCCTCGCAATGTATACTGGATGGTGCCGTCCATAAGGCTCCAGGGTCCAGGTGTTAGAGGCAGACAGATCAATATGCTGATAGGGGTACGATTTTGGGCAGGAGCTAGATCCAATTTCGAACCTCCAATTTGTAATCGAAAGGTGAGGATATTCAAATGTAGTTATATGCATCACAAAGTAGTCCCATCCCTCCCTCGCTTGTTCGTCCGTTAATTCTTACTGGGTCTGGACTCGGTCTTGGTCCCTGTACATGTCCGAGGTTGTCCGAATGCAACAACGAATCTTTCCGAGACCCTGCTGCGCCGTCGGCCAGGACTCCAGGGTCTCGGCGAGTCGGCGCAGATCAGCAACCCCCGCCGCATAGAGGAGGATTAGTAAAGCTCCGCCTTGCAGTCTTCGGAACACTCACCAAGAAAACCAAGAAACAGCCCGGGCAGGCTCGGGACGGGCCATGATGACTCCGTGGCTCTGGGTAAGCTGCAACTCATCCGCTCTATATAAGGTATTCCACTGTTCCACAGAGCCACCGTTTTTCAACAACACCTGCAGATCGCACACCGCTGTTCAGTATTACTCTTCTACCCTTGAGGATTCTCACTCATCTTGCCCAGCACACAGGGACTTAAGAACCCAACATGGCCGCGACTAGCGACAAGCCGATACTCGTAGCAGCCGCTTATCCGGCAGCCGGCCACACGGCGGGCGTATTGCAGCTCGCCCAATATCTCAGCGGCAAGGGCTTCAAGATTTACTTCATTGGCGGCGTCGAGTTCAAGGCTTCGATCGAGAAAGCCGGGGCTGAATTCATCGATTTCGAATGGGACTGGACAAAAAACTGGAACGAGGACGAAGGCGGCAACGTTTTCTATGACATGAAGCACGTCTTTGCCGATGCAACCCCAACTGCGTTTAGGGTCCTCAAGGACACGCTCGAGCGGGTTCGTGAGAAGCACCCAGACCGAAAGGTCATGATGCTGCAGGACAGCATGGCCCTCGGCTCCGCGCCCTTCATGTACGGCGCTCCGCTGCCGAAGGGGTACACTTCCTTCCCTAGGGTCATCAGCTTCCACACCAGCATCTACGCCGCCCATGACTACTCCGTCCCTCCCTTTGGCGCTGGTATGCCCTATGATCCGACCCCTGAGAACCTGGCCATGTGGCGGTCCATCTACGACTCCATCCAACCCCAAGTCGACGACCTCTCCAGCTACTTCAATAACATTTACCGCGAGCTGGGCGCGACGAGGCCGATGACCGGAGCGATGCTGGACGGAATCATTCAAGCGTGCGACTTGATGGTCATGGCGACCACGCCGAGCCTCGACTACCCCATCGCCTCGTCCAACCCCAAGGTGCGCTTCATCGGCGGCCTGCCGCTGAAGCCGCTCGACCCCAACTTTGCCTACCCCGACTGGTGGCCGCTGATCACGGCCAATTCCGCCCTGCCGGCGTCGTCCCCGGAGAAGAAAAAGGTGGTCTTCGTTTCTCAGGGCACCGTCCACCGCGACTACACTGAGCTGCTTATCCCAACGCTGAAGGTGCTCTCCGGCCGGAAGGACCTGATCGTCATCGCGACGCTGGGCGCTCGCGGGGCGACGCCGCCTGCGGAACTCGACGTCCTGCCGGACAACTTCAAGATTGTCGACTACTTCCCCTACGACGCTTTGTTACCCCACACAGACGTGTTTGTCTCCAACGCGGGGTACGGCGGGTTCATGCACGGCATCATGAACGGCGTGCCCATGGTGCTGGCGGGAACCAAGGCCGACAAGGCCGAGGTGTGCCAGCGTGCCGAGTGGGCTGGTGTCGGGGTCAACCTGCGTGCGCAGAACCCGAGTGGTGAGGCCATTAGAGAGGCCGTGGATAAGGTTCTGGGTGACGGCAAGTTCAAGGCGCGGGCGCTGGAGCTGAAGAAGGAGAATGAGCAGATGAATTGCCTCGAGACGTTCGAGAAGATTGTGTATGAGATTGCGGCGATGGACTGATTTCCATTGTGGGCGCACAAGCGAGTTGATGTGATCAGATAGGGACTGGATACCTATGGGATTGTGAATATAACAGGATAGACAGCGAGGAGTCATGATGCCACTCACTTTTTATACAATTGTTACATCTTGTACAGATGCCATCATCCCATTATCCAGGGCTAAAACACTTTGACTTGACCCCACGCCGCTGTGTGTTTTCGTTGAAAGGAGGGAGGGCAGCGGTTCCAGAAAAAGAGGGAAAAGGAAGCCGAGGTCTGCTGGTGATTTTTGGCCCATTTTCTTCCAGTTCCCTCAGGCTGGCTTTACGGTATACCAGGTACACGTACACCTTAGTTTGTGCCATTCAAGAGTCATGGTTGCGTCGCCCCGAATCTAACCCTATTCATGCTCCATTATGTGGCTTCCTCTTCAGCTGTTCCTTGGCGTTTCATGGAGGAAGAAAGCGGTCTGCTGTAGGCTGATTGCCTACCTAGGCAGTTGTCGAGCAGCCAAGCACCTGCGGGTGTGGCAGTGCTGCCTGGCCGACCACTTCAACACAGACAGACGGGACTACGACGGGAAGGTACCACCTTCAAGTATTTGTGTCAAGGCAATCACTTCCGGCGTGTGCATTTACCACTCCATGTCATTCTGCCGTACCCGCCTTTACATTCCCGTGGCTTCCTCGAGGCTTGGAGCAACATCACAACTTGTATCCAATGCGACTACTCAACACAGAGAACCTTAAACTTGAGGTCAAAAGCGATGGCACCCCGTACGCCATTCTTTCCCACCGCTGGGAGGAGGATGAGATTCTGTTCCAGGATCTCGCGAGTAACCAAGACGAAACCCGCAACCAGGCAAAGCAGAAACGAGGTTATGTCAAGATTGAGGGAGCATGCCGCCAGGCTAGGAGGGACGGTTTTCAATACATATGGGTTGATACCTGCTGCATCGACAAGTCAAGCAGCGCCGAGCTCTCCGAGGCCATAAATTCGATGTACAGGTAATCTTGAATCTTCACCTGAGTGACCAGGGGCCATTACCACGAATGCTGATCTGCCTCTTTCTCGCAGATACTACCAGCAAGCAGAGGTGTGCTACGCTTATCTAGCTGGGCTCCCCGAGCGTACAGATCCAATGAATGACCTTGCGTTTGCCAATCACGAGTGGTTTACCAGGGGCTGGACCCTTCAAGAGCTCATTGCCCCAAAAGAAGTCCTCTTCTTCACCGAACGACGGGACTTCGACTGTCAGGTAATCGACCTCGAACTCTCCGCCAACACCAACCGCACTGGCGACTGGATATTGTTATGGAAGAAATCCACAATGTGCGAAAGGCTTTCGTCCATCACCGGCATCGATGCCGGTGTTCTTGCCCACACGCGCAGTATAGAGTCCATCAGCATTGCTGAACGCATGTCATGGGCCGCTCAGAGAGTAACTACCAGGGTAGAGGACCGTGCCTATTGTCTTCTGGGACTATTCGGCGTCAATATGCCCATGCTTTACGGCGAGGGCGAGAAAGCGTTTATCCGATTGCAGGAGGAAATCATGAAAGATACCAGCGATGAATCGCTCTTTGAATGGAGAGACGAAAGCGCTGATCCAAAGGCACTCACGGGGTTGCTTGCCACCTCTCCCAGCATGTTCAAGGACTCTGGCGGCTTCTTCTCCTACTACGACTGGGAGCCGCGGGCTCCCTTTTTCAAGACCAATCAAGGCATACAAATCACACTCCCTCCGCAGTACCTACTCCGATGATCTCTATATCGCAGCGCTCAACTGTCCGCGCCCCTCGAGGACAGATGGGTTCGCGGGTGTCTTCCTTTTGCGTCTGACTAGTCACTCAGACGTAGAGTCGTCATCGTATCACGACCAGTACGCTCGGATCCGCAGCAATACCATTGCCTCTATTAGCGGCAGCACCGATTGGTCCAATGGTGTCGTCCGCGGCAAAAGAACGACCATCTATGTACGTCAAGACCCCGGAAAGGGGGCGCCGCCACTTCTCTATCCAGAACACATTCTACAGCTGCGCAGCCTGCCCGACCCTGAGAGATACAATGTGTACATCAGGGCAGCGCAGGTTCGTTTTCGAACTGCAGGCAAGAGGACTATTGAACCTGCTGTTGCTCCTGATGTACCACGACCACTGCCCTTCAAACAAACCAGGATCCCCTCGCATTACAGAACCACGTTCCGCATGAGCAAGCAGCCGAATTCTCTAGCCGCCGTTGTTGGTTTCCATCATAGAGACAAGCCGCATCTCAGATTCACTGTCCTTCTGGGTTCGAGCCCAGACACAGGCGATGAAGTTCGGGCCTATGTTCTTGACGGCTGGGATACGTCGCTGGATTGGGCAAGCATTTTTGAGCGACTGGCACACGAAAACAAAAACGGTCACCGGAGTCATTACCCTGAGGTTTCACTCTGCATACGGGACGATATACTTCGGGTGAAAACCGTGTCGTTGGTATTACACAACTGCAGGTACTTCCTGGTCGACATATTCGATATCTCAGACCCTGACTATGCACCGAGTTCTTACCGAGATCCTGCACTTAAAGCGAAAGAGTGTTCAGGACGGTTCGTTTGGGTCAAGAAACTCTTTAAGACAGCACCAAACACGCAACAGTAGCGCTTTCCTGACGGCAATGAAGCGCACCTGATCTGGTATTGTACGTAGGCATGTCTGCTTGGAGGAAGAGATAGGGGATGGAATTCCAAGGACAGGCGACATGTTTCCTCAAGTACGCCTTGCTCGGGTGCTCTCCCGTCTCGCCAGAAACGAGGGATGAATTTCACGGGTCCCGTTCCTTGCCTGCCACGGCTATGCATGTCCCAACACTGGCACGGCACCCATTGATGCCAGCTTGGACAACGTCAGTGAACTCCTACCGCAAACTCGCCAACTCCACCCCCGCGGTTCCCCTAGCTAACAGGCCACCGGCCGAGCGACAAATTGAGGATGCTGACAACTCATTGGCTAGGGTGTACGGAGGTGCCTTGGGCTTGCACCAAGCTCCGAGGTTGAGCATTAGTGCCTCCGAGAGCGGGACACCAGGCACTCATGCTGCTGTAAATGTATTTCCTGGTTTTCAGCTCCACAACCTTCCAGCCTCCTGTGCTGGAGCGTCATGTTGCATTTTACATAAGACTCCCCAGATCCAGTCCTCATACTCTCCATCACTGCGTCGTTCAGGATCAAACTCTGAATGGAAAGAAGTAAACCCTTGTCACGATGAATCCCGCGAGCACAACTCGAACTTACTCATACACCCGACTGCCGCACCTTCGCAGGTCAACCAGGCTGCTCAAGCTTGCCGGAGGGGTTGACGATGACGAAATCCGGTGCAGCTTGGAGATCATTAACCTCGAATCCCAGCCCAACTTACCAAGTACGCGGCCCTGTCTTACTCATGGGGTGGTCAGCTCCCAACGCGCTCAGTCGACTTGGATGGCTGCCGTGTTGGTTTGATTAGAGAGGCACGGGATATGGGTTGTGAACATGGAACACCTAGGATTGACAACCAGGAGTCATGATGCCACTCAATGTTTATACGATTGTTACTTCTTGCACAGTTGTCAAACATCTCGTTACGACATTACCAAGGTATCCAGAGCTAATGGCGTTGTCCTTGTGTACCTACCATCCTTATACAAGAGCACTGACTTACTTCAGTTGAGTTACGCCAGGTGCTAGGGGTTAGATATTCAAGGCACCAAGTGACTCTCAGTCGTCGATCCAACTTAGGCTCAAACCGTATCTTGATATTCAATCATTCTATGTTCTAGAAACGTCTCAACATACTAGGGCCTCAGTGAATCTACCAAGACATGAGTTCCTTCTAGAGCACTCCAAGTGAAGTGTAGTACGGAGTAAGCCCAGGACTGACCGACCAACAGACACACTGTGGTGCAGTGCTGTGTCGCCCCTGCAATGCCATCATGCCCATTCATCACCTCGCACACGCGGCTGTCTACCTTATATAAGTATCTCTCAAACCTCTTCACCTTGTTCTATTAAACTTGAAGAGACAGGGAGTCGTTTCTCAGGCCTCCCTATGACTGTCAGTCAGCCTTTGCTCGTCGTCAGTCAGGTAATGTATCACGCATCTTTACCTTCCCCTTTGCAGCTGTGTCTCCCTTCTGCACGGTCTCATTCACCGATGTCGAAGTCACTCCTGGGGACATTCCATTCTGTCCATCATTCGTCACACGGGCTCCGACCTGATCTCCATCACACCCCCATTGATAGACAGCCATCCCCCTGTTGTCTGCCTGGTGGAACTTCTCCAACCACACCATGGTCCCGCACTGGAGGACGGTCCCTAAACTAACAACCAAAGGAATGAGCTGCCCGGCGGTAGTGACCAAATGCACACCTGTAGCAGAATTCCACCGAAGCGTCAACTCGGTCGCGACGATGACATATACCGGCAAGAGGAGAATGACGATATCATGCAAATGATCCAGAAGACCCATTGTACACCATAGCAAACACCCACTACAGATGGCCCCAACGGTAACGCAAGCACAGGCGCCCAAGGCACAGACAATGCAGTTCCCGAGAAAAGCCTTCTTGACCTTCGAATATCCTAACCTACCAACCTCGGTGTCTTCTTTTGACTTCTGGTCTTTGCTAGTGACCGTGAGATTATTCAAACTGCTTGGATGAGCTGACACAGCCGCCGATCCGGGGGCGGGCGCGATCATGTGGTGAAATGATGGCTGCTCCATAGCAACAGTGGTCTGAACGTGTTAGTGAACCAATTTGTTCAAGCTGGGGACGACTTACAGAGTATTTTCCCGTTTCCAAGTCAATGTCATTGGTCCATCTCTTGGTCGAACCGCTGTGCATCGACCGCTGAAGCTGTGATTCAGGTCCGCGCTGATCTCCAGTGGCTTTGCTCTCTGCTGTTGTTACCTTCCGAATCGCGCTGATCAGTCCCGTCCCTAATATAGAATGTCAGGCTTCGAATCGAACCACAGTCAATGATTGATCACTGACGGCGATCAAGCATCTTGCTTGAAATATCCAAATAACACTTTACCAGCGCTCTGAAGCCGGGGTACCTCCATGGGTTGGAATCGAATATCCATGCAATCCACTCCAGCCTCCCCTGCTCTGGCTTCCTCGCGGCCTCTGGGATGGACCGGGGGTCGACGACCAGCAAGAAAAGTACTACTAAGATAACGCCAAATACAACTAAAAACCCCAAGCCGTCGTGCACTGTCCGGATGGTATAGACAATGATGTGCAGCGTCCGCATCCACCCCGTCAGTGTTGACTTCGCGAAGAAGAAGCCGAACGCGTGACACGGTGGAGAGGGCAACGCCTTAACACCAATGTACCAGAACCAGATGCCGTAGGAAGTGATAGCCATATGCAAAAGATAGGAGGCGAGCACAAAGACGACCGAATAGATTTTGAGTTCAGCGAGTATGTGCTTGCCGTTACTAGTATCGTTGTCGACATCGTCGTCATCGCCGTGGGTGTCATTGTGTTTCTCTCGATCTCCACCGGCAACGTCCCTTGCCTTCTCTCTGCCGTCGTTCAAGTTCTTTTCAACCTCTTCTCCCTTCTCGCTCTTCAGGTCCCGCTTCTTGCCGCCCAAACCCTCGTCATCTATGTCCTCCACCTGTTTCCCACCGTCATTTGAGCAGCTTCGCGCCGTCCAACTTCTTTCCTATGTCGATTTCAACACTATCCCTACCCTTGCATTCGCTGCTTTTCACTTGGTGGTCGGGATTCTCATTCTTGTCAAATTCCATCCAGTCTTGCTGGTCCGTTGCCGATTCAATATTCAGGCCTCCTGTCTCAGCCTTTGGGCGCACTCTCGATGATTCTGCCTTGTCCACTCCCGCGCCGGGCGGCTTGCGAGATCCCACCGCCTGTTCTCCCCCTGTATTTTCGCTATCCCCTTTCTCTCGATTCTCGGTTTCTGGCTGACCCTCTCCACGTGCACCAGCGGCTTGTGGTTCCTTCGAGTCTCCGTCTTCACAACCTTTCTGATGGTCATGCAAAAACTTGGCCATGTGAAATCGAATTTCGACAGCGACGAGGGCGAGGAACGACAGCGAGTCGACGAGATACAAAGTTACATACGCTTCCACGTTATTGAGACCTCCCGACAGGGTGGCATGGATCAGCGCGACGAACAGGGCGAATGCCAAGAGGAGGTTGACGGTCAGCACTCTGTATAGTTCGTCGCCGTCGAATGTTCCAATCACAGTCATGACGGTTTGCAGATAGAAAGCGATGCGGACCCCCAAACCGTACAAGTCCGAGTTACCCTCGAAACCGGGCTCGCAGTGTGCATTATCCCCGGAACTAATCTCGGTCTCAGTAGCCGTCTGGGCAGTGGCTAGGGCTGATGCAAGGGTGACAAGGAACAAAATATTGAACCAAGCCCGATTCAAGGCCATTTCTTAGTTGGGCGAGATTCGCTGGGCAGGCTCACAGGGTCCTGCTCAGCCGTCGACGTTAGTAAGGTAGTGAGCTGCTGTAAAAGACAGGAGAAAAACCACCACGTAGTTGCTCTGTTGCAGTGACACGACGAGGAGAACTTTCGGCGAAAGAGAACAAAGGCAAAAGACAAAACTTCGCTTCAGCATATGAACCCAGATCATCCAGTGCATAGCTAGGTAGCTACCTTACCCCCAGGTCTTCATACAAGTAGAAGTTGGGCAGCATCCGTCGTTAAGTGGCGTCAACGAGTCACCCAGGACTCAAACACCACTGGCAGACGGCTGATGCGGGTTCCCATCCACGCTCAAGCCCCCGCTCAAGCCCCCATTGTGTGTGTTCGCTTCGTGGTCGACAATCGTTAATCTTTTGTTTGGACCTCTCCCGCACAACACATGGATGCTAGTGATCTGCGCTAGTAGGTAGCGCAGTGCCAATTGGATCGATTTATTGTAGTACAGTCGTGCATTGCTTGTTGTCACTCCTTATGGGTGGTGCTGTGGGTGACCACGTTGGCTCCGGGCTTGGCTCATCACCTGCAGCCCTCCGACAACCTGCGCTTTCATGGCCGATAACGTTAGGCACAGCCGCACAAGCACAGGGCGAATGCGAGGGTAACGTTATATGCTGACTGAGTAGGTGATACATCAGGTTCGCGTGTACAGGCTCGACGGAGTACTTTGTATGTACATAGACAGGGTATTGATTCAAAGTTCCTTGGTTGTGGCCCTTGTAGTTCCATGTGGGCACCAATTAACTAAGGTGCAACCTTGATCCCGAATCTCGAGCTCCACATCTACCTAACCCTAACCCAGCCACCGGAATTGGCATTCAACTTAATTAGCTTTGTCTGGAGCAAACGCGTCGAGCGCGTTTGGTGCACCAACCCTTCCATTGACTGTCCAGTGACTGTTCGACAAGAACCTGCCTAAACACAAAACCGAAAAACTCCAGCCCGAAAAATAGCCAGGATGTCCGACTTCGAGGACGAAATGGACATTGACGTCCCTATCTCAAAGGACGTCACGTTTTCATCAGACAATACAGGTGGCAAAGGCAAACGCAGCGCCGCGAACCTGCCCGTCGAGGCTGAGGACAGCCTGCCATGGTCAGCAGCCTTCACAAGTTGGTTTGGATATCATCTGATAAGTGCATCCTAGGGTTGAGAAATACCGCCCAGTTTCGCTTTCCGACGTCTCCGGTCATCAAGATATCCTTGCAACTATCAACAAGTTCGTCGAGTCGAACAGGCTACCCCACCTCCTCTTCTATGGCCCTCCCGGCACCGGCAAGACCTCGACCATTCTTGCCCTCGCGCGGCAAATATACGGTACCGAGAATATGCGCCAGATGGTGCTGGAGCTCAACGCCTCAGACGACCGCGGCATCGAGGTTGTGCGCGAGCAGATCAAGACGTTTGCGTCAACCAAGCAGATCTTCACCCTCGGCTCGTCGGCGGCCCGGACAGGCATCGCCGGTTTCAAGCTCATCATACTCGACGAGGCGGACGCGATGACCAACTCGGCCCAAATGGCCCTGCGAAGAATTATGGAGAAGTACACGGCGAACACGCGGTTCTGCATCATCGCCAACTATTCACACAAGCTCAGCCCCGCCCTGCTCTCGCGGTGCACGCGCTTCCGCTTCAGTCCACTGAAGGAGCCGGATATCCGTAGCCTGGTGGACAAGGTGATTGATGAGGAGAATGTCAAGATCGTCCCCGATGCAGTTGATGCGCTGGTGCGGCTGAGCAAAGGCGACATGCGGCGAGCGCTAAACGTCCTCCAGGCCTGTCATGCGTCCAGTAATTCTTCCCTGCACCTTGTATGTGTTCCCGTGGTCGTACTGACTTGACAACAGGCACACCTCTGCACGAGCGAGGCGCACCCAAGATACCTGAGAAGGACATCGTCCGCGAGACCATCACAACGCAGACCATATACAACTGCGTCGCCGCGCCGCCGCCGGATGCCATCAAGAAGATCCTAGACACACTATTAAGCACAAGCGACGTCACCGCCTGCCTCTCGACCATCAATACCATCAAGGTGGCACAAGGGCTGGCGCTTGCGGATATAATCACGGCGTTGTCGGAAGAATTGGTCAAGCTGGAGGTTAAGCCGCAGGTCATGATCACCTGGCTAGACGCGCTGGCAGACATTGAGCACAGGGTAGCGAGCGGCGCGAATGAGAGGATACAAACCGGTGCTGTGGTAGGGGCAATACGGAATGGCGTCGAATTGATGGGCTGAATGCTTCATAGCTTTTGACAGAGCTTGAGCAGAAGACAGGGGCACCGTTGAGTGATGCTGGCTGCAAGACCCCTGGATGAGGGTGATGCAGGAAACAGCAGCACGCGATGGCGAAAGCCCTTGACCACCGGGTCCACGCACCTACAGAAGGAATTACTGGTTTGGGATGCTTTCTTGGGCGGGAACAGCGGTACGGGTGCAGCGAAATTGGACTTTGGAAGGTCCTTGAACCGGGGATCCGCATGGACGACAGGTTCGCTATGGACTAGGGCTGGGCTGTTAAAGGGGAAGTCGAGCTCGAGTTTGGAATTGCTGAAACCCGCCAACACAGGCCATGTTCCTGAGCTCGCTGTCTTCACTTCTCTATCCGGGACGAGAACGGAAGTTGCAGCCGGTTAAATGACAACCTGCTCGGCCTCTTAACATACCCAAACTGCCAATAGGTACAATTGCCAAGAAAATGCAGATATAGCCAAATTGCTAGGCTGCCCAACGATCCTTCAACCTGTTCAGATGATGAGACATCCACCGCTGTCTTCAATCCTCGACAGCCTTGATCTGCTCACTCCGTTTGGAATTATTGCTCCCGTTCCCTAACCTCCTTTTCAGATCGTCGTTTTCCGTTTCGCTCATATCGTCCTCGTCATCCTCGTCGCTCATCTCCAGAGCAAAATAGTCATCGGTGCTGCCATCCCTCGGCATCAAAGCATGGACTTCCGCTCCGCCAGTAGTGCCTGGCGCCGACCTCTTTGCAGCCGCCAGTTGCGCCCTCCACAAGAAGAAACCCAGACCAGCCGCTTCTAGCAGAATGAGCCCAGCCGCCAGCACGACCGTCAATGCGCCCCGACCAGCGAGCAACATGCCCAGTATCACATTCGCCCATCCGCCTGCGACGACCGTCCGTCCCAACCAGATGTGCGCATGCGACACCCAGGTCCTCCTCCGTATCCTCAAAAACCTGACATGATGCCGCCACCCCAGCAGACCCTGTAACCCCAACACCAGCACGATCCCAACCCCAAGCCACTGATGCACCGTCCTCGGCAACCGCCCGCCCGTCATGACAGCCGCGACCGTTGCGCCAACCCAGGCAAGCCCCGTCGCAACAAATTGCATAACCCAATGCCTCTTGAACGGCGCCCCCTTACCCGCACCTCTCGTCCAGCGAATCAATCCCGCCCCGACCGGAAACCCCACGAGGAACGCAGCGCCCATCACCCAGCCATGCATTCTGACCAGGGATTGCCTCTCCCCAAGCGAAGCAAACCAACCCGCGGCTCCAATGGGCGAGTCGCTAGTCCCGAGGCGGTCGTGGGCCTCGTCAAACGGCTCCGGAACGGTCACGGGAGGCGCGGGCTCCTTGCTCACCGCGCGCGCCATGTCCACGTAAAAGACGCCAAACCCCCCGCCGTCGGCGCGGTGCTTGTGCATGTCGAGGTGTGTGTCGGGAGCGTAGGCTTCCGAGGAGGAAGAGGAGAAGTCGAACCGCTGCCGGTCGTTCCACGCCCAGATCCATGGCTGCGAAGAGGACGTTGCGTCTATGCGTGACCCGCTAAAGAGGGTGCATGAATAGCACGTGAGTGATATCACTGCTGCGTGCGTCGGTCCGGTGGCTGGTGGTGGGGGAGGGGGCGGCGACTTGCTGTCCTCGTCTCCGTGGCGGCGAGAGGGACTACGGCTACTAGGTTCGTGCTGCAGGGCCTGCCACTTGGCGTGGGTGATGCGGATGTCGGGCCCAGTCGTGATGCCAGTGGTGGTGTTGCCGGTGGAGTCGGAGATGGGGCGCGGCTGGTGATGGCCGTCGGCGGTGCGGATGCTCACCACGGGGTCATGGTCACCCGACGAGGGGTCGCCGTAGACTATGAACATGAGCGCGCCGGCCATGGAGGGGCCCGTGCCGACGGCGGTCCAGCCGAGTGCGGACGAGCGCCGCACCGAGAGGGCAATGTACAGGTCATGCTGGTCCGTGGTTGCGTTGAGGTAGCTTGATACGCCCATGCAGAAGTCGGCCTCGCCGTCTTGGTGGCCGAAGCGGCAGTACTGCACCCGCTCGGCTAGGGCGGATTGGATTTGGGTGGTTAGGAGGAGGTGGAAGAGAAGCGCCACTGAGAGCAGAGGCGCCATGGTCGGCATCGCAACCTTGGTTTCCCACGTTTCCAGCCGCCGTGGACGTTGAAGGGAATCGAGAAGTTGCAGATTGAAGCTTGTCAACTGCGCTTACGCAGGTCCAGCAAACGGCAATCGCAGCCACAAAAGAAAGGCAACAATGTGTGCCGCGGTCAGTTCGGATCGGATTTCTCGGAGGAGCCGGAGTACCCCGCTGACATAACAAAGGATGCTAGACGCAGACCAAAACAACCATTGCTACGTCAATCGTTTGGCGCGGGAGGGAGGCACAGCTGGATGCATGATGCATCTTACACATCGGCATCCATCGAAACGGAGCAACAGATCAAGGCTTCGAGCGCCCGTCATGGTATCGGCCCCGCGTGAGCGCCACGCGAGTTGCTGCATCGCGCGACGCTGAGCTTCCGCGCGAGACTGTTGGCGGGCGGCTGTCTCGCCAAGAACGGCTCGTCCATGCCATCGACGTTCTCCTGCTAGCTAAGGTACAGCACTGTATACCATCCGTTAGATCAAGCTCTCCAAGGGCAGGGTTCCTCAAGTCCGCAGATTCCGCCTTGAGGATCGACCCGGAATAGCAAGCACAGTCGTCGGAGAAGGACATGATCTCGTGCTGCGGAAGAACCCGATCCAACAAGGTTGGGTGCCAAGCTAGGGATGCGGAATTCAAGCTCGGCTGGCTTGGACTTGCGAAATCCATTTTGGCCGAAAGAAATTGAGAGTGTCTCGCCGCGCTATGTATTTTGTCTCACCACACTATGACCCCCAACACATGCACATACATAACCCTGACCATATTCCAGCCTGCTTTTCTAGACCACAGTTACCGTCTTCCACTATACAGTGATAATTTGTATTCAAGACCTTGGCGACGCAGCTACGCAACTAAAGAAAACAACTCGTCGCTAGTCAGCGAGGAGGGCGTGGTAGAGGCCGCGAGGTTGGGCGTGCTTGAGCACTGGCTGGGCAGGTACCCCGAACAGGGGCGAGGCAGAAGTTAGATTGAAGATGAACGGGGAGCTCAAAGTTCAGTCTCCAAACGAATGCTCCATTCTTCTATAAGCAGTCTTCCCAACTGATGGTAGAGCTGATTATTTGTTGGAGGTGGTGACCTATATGGTAGGGTTATATATGCGTAGGTGGTAGGGTCATAGTGTGGTGAGACAAAATACATAGTGCGGCGAGACTCTCTCAGGAAATCAAGCTTCACTCTTCCACTATACTTGTTTGGGAAGGCGGTAAGCATCTGGGTTAGGGTTATTTCTAACTTCTTTCCTCAATCTCAATTCTGTCGAACTCATTCGTACTCCGTACGGATAACCGTTTCAGCCTGGATCTCTCCCGCTAACTCCAAGGTTCAACTTCATGAGGATGGACTGGAGCTGCCGGGGTTACTGGCCTAATCGAGACGCAATTGAGGCACTTCCTGCTGAAGTGTCTAAGCTCCCATACAATTTAGGTGGGCAGTTGGACGGCTTGGCCTGCAAATCCTTGGTCTGATCCCATTAGCCCTTCCTGGCTTCATTTCCACGGGCAACTACCGGGAGTGCAGCTCTGCCCAAGGCTTGGTTCAGCTGTGTTTTTGAACCCACAGCCTTTTTGACCCAGGTACGTATTCTTGCATATACATGCGAGTAATTGGATTGCTCTATTGCAACAGGTGCATCCAGAACGGCCGCCAGACTGGTTGCCATCTCAGGTATTCAGGCAACGATGCCCGGTCCCTGTTCGGAGCCAACTCGGGACTCCCTCAGGCTCTCAGCAATGTGCTGCTCGACAAAGCGCGACGTTACAACGGTGCCAAGAACCCGTTCCCGCTGCCGTCGCCCTCAACTGCCGTCTGGCGGCTCACGCGACTTGGCAGCATTTTTTAAACCTCCAGTACCGGCACGGCGCCAGTACTAGTGCCCGTGTAGCCGACACATCGGGCTTCTAGTGTGAATAGCAGCAATGTCACCTCGGGGAACTTGAAGGCCATAACCCCGCTGCCGCTCGGGGTGTGGGTGTTTAAATCCGTCCGTTGATGGCTCGATCCTTCGAGCCATCCTTCTGCTTCCCACCGAGCCCAGATGATTTATCTGAACGACACTGGACTAGCTACAAAATAAATAAACAAATTTCCGGTACAGCAGCCATCTTCGACGCACCGTGACACTATCGCTACCTCGGCACCTTTCTGCTGCCGACCAGACACACCGATGCCCTGATCAGTCATGGCTGCCCGCACCAACCGCGCCCTCTGGCAGGATACGTTTGGCGTTCCCGGCGTAGTCCGCGAGAGCCCGCTCCCTACAAACGACGACCTTGGTGACCACAAGGTGCTGGTCAAGGTGCATGCCTGGGCCATCAACCCCTGTGACTATATGCTTCAAGACAGGAATATGGGGTCCAGTTATCCTGTCATTCTAGGCTGCGACGTTGCCGGTACCGTCGAGGCTGTGGTTCCGGGCTCTACCGCAGCCTCCCAGTTCCGCGTCGGCGACCGCGTCTTTGGCTTTACCGCTAATAGCGGCTTTCAGGACTACGTAGCCCTGGAGGACAAATTGATGACCAAAATCCCGGGCGACATGGCATACCGTGAGCCTGTTGTTCTCGGCCTCTGCAGCGCTACCGCCGCTATGTTCCTGTTCGGAGAGGACTACCTTCACCTCGACTACCCCAAGCTAGGCGCCCGCAAGAAGGGAAAGTCTGTTTTGATTTGGGGAGGCAGCTCTGCTGTCGGCAGCAATGCCATCCAGCTAGTGATAGCTGCAGGCTACGACGCAATCGCAACCTGTTCAAAGAACAACTTCGACTACGTCAAGGGCCTTGGCGCCGTCCAAGTCTTCGACTATAAAGATCCCAATGTGACCGAGAAAGTCGCCGCAGAGCTCGACAAGGGCGAATGTGCCGGTATCTTTATGGCGGCCGGGTTGAAGAATGGCAACGTCGCGGCATGGAAGGTTGCGGCAGCGTCTAAACAGACGGTAAGTAATAAGGCACTTTGCCCGCACCCCTTATACGAGAAGCTGACGGGGCTCCTGCTAGCTCAAATTTGCATCGTCCAATTTCATCGACAACTTGGATGACGTCCCGAAGGGAGTGGACGTCAAGCAGCTTTCGCCCGGAAGCTTCAAACCATTCCCCGACTGTTGGTTTGAAACGACACTTGTCACCTTTGGTGGATATCTGTCCGAAGCTCTGGCCAAGGGAGCCTTCAAGGTCGCACCCCCACCACTGGTGGTCAACAGGATAGGCCTAGAAGGGATCCAGGAGGCTATCGACCTCCAGCGAGTCATCGCCGAGAAGGGTCATGAAGGGATCAAGGAGGCTGTCAACCGCGTGAAAGGAGGCATGAAAGAAGACAAGGTATCGCCGGTCAAGCTGGTCGTCGAGCGATCTTAGGCGAAAGAAAGGCAAACAATGTGTGCCGCGGTCAGCTCGGATCGGATTTGTCGGAGGAGTCTGAGTGCCCCACTGACATAACGAAGCAATAATTCTTCAACTGTTCAGCACCAGGGTCGGGCTTCCCACACAACGTTTACCTGGTGAACTACCCGTTGTCTGGTCAATAAACAATCGATACATGTAAGAGCCGTTCGCCAGCATAGCCGCCATACATATGGCGTTTCGAGCTCAGCCTGAAATCATGTGGCCGCACGATGGGTTGCACAGGTGGCGGTGTCGAGTCAACCTTGGGAAGCTGCTTGGGCATCAATGATTCGCTCCAGGCGCGGCTGCCGCTCGCGCGGGGTCTCCTGGCACAAATTCGGGTTATTACAATGTAGGACCTGTAGGTGGTAGGTCGGGTGCTTGGGCAACTTACCGACCGACACTCAAAGATTTGCAAAAATGGAAGCGGTTGGAGTCGGCATCGGCACCATCGGCCTAGTCGGGTTGTTCAAAGATGTCATAGATCTTTTCGCTCTTTTCACTGCTTCACGCTCTTTGGGTCGCGACTTTGTCATCCTCCTCACCAAGCTTGACATAGAGAAATACCTCCTGCTGCAATGGGCTGAGCAGGTCAAACTCCTGCACAACGCCGATGACGAGTTTCACGATGTGCGCCTCAACCACGAGGAAGTCCAGTCGTCAGTCGCCCAGGTACTCTCGTGTATCCGCCTGCTCCTCAGCGAGCGCTACGGCATGAAGGATGTCTCCAGCACGGCTCCCGGAGCTCTCGTCGACGTGCGAGAAGACGCCGTGGGACTGAGTCGTCCCTGCATGAAGCGGTTCGAGCAACGGTTCGAAGAGCTGAACATCAGCATCAAACAGCAGCAGAAGTCGGCAAAAACACTGACCAAGGTTCGCTGGGTTATTCAAGACAAGGGAAAGTTTGCAGATCTCATCGCAGACTTGGCACACTTTACAACCAAGCTGAGAGAGATCCTCCCGCCAACTGCGACCTCGCTCTCGCGTACCGCCGAACTTGTTAACTCAGGGGATCTGGAGGCAGTCACCGACTTTGACAAGCTCAAGATTGTTTTGGAGGCATCTGCCGGCCATCGTGGCGCTATCGCCGGGCCCACGCAGGAACTGATCGATCGAAAGTGCCAGGAACGCATTCTTGGAACGCTCTGGTATAGGGCGATGGACCAGCGAAGAGACAGTATCAGCGCCGCGCATGACAAGACGTTTCAGTGGGCCCTTGAGCCGCCAAGCGACAGCATCGATCATGACGGGGGCAATCTCTTTGGGTGGCTGCGCTCCGGTTCCGGCATCTACTGGGTCTCTGGCAAAGCCGGCAGTGGAAAGTCGACTTTCATGAAGTTTCTCTACTCGTCCCCCAAGGTTAGGGAACTGTTGTCGGAATGGTCCAGCCCGGAAGAATGTACCTTGTCCGACTTCTTCTTCTACTATTTGGGCATTCCAGAGCAGAAAACACAAGCAGGCCTCTGCAGGGCGTTGCTCTTCAAGATTCTCTCGTGCTGCCCGATCCTTATTGGCAAAGCGCTTCCTAATCTCTGGCGAGAGATCAAAGCGAACAAGAACGACGTTGCCGCGCCATCACCACCCGAAATCGAGTACGCCTTTGAGGTCATTCCCAGCCACCAAAGCCTTCCGCCCATTTGTCTCTTCATTGACGGTCTGGATGAGTGCATCGGGGATAACCGTCGTGTCATCGCTTTTTCTTAGCCAGCTTGCCATGAACCCAAAACTCAAGATTTTGGTCTCGAGCCGGCCGGAACCACACTGCGTCGCCGCGTTCGGCGGATTCCCGTCCCTGGAGCTCCAAACCCAGACCAAAGGCGATATTTCACTCTACGTCCAGAAGGTGATCGGTGAACACAGATACATGAAGAGACTGCTCATAAGCGACCCGGTACGCTCGGCCGAGATCATGGGCGAGATTGTCGCAAAGGCAATGGGCATCTTTTTGTGGGTTATACTAGTCTGTGGGTCTCTCCTGAAAGGATTCGACGACTACGACCGCATTGAAGAGCTGCAGGCCCGGGTGCAGGAGTTGACTCAAGTCCTACAGCTCTATGATGATCGGCGAAAGGTGGGAGGCGTGGGAGACGGCAACTTGAATGCCAAACAGTGACAAAAAGATCCCTAGCATTCGGTGATGGATGATGTTGGTCATAAGAGCGAAGCCTGGCGCAAGAACTGGTATTTTAGGTATTCTTCCTGCTCCTTATTATCCCACCTCTCCTATATCACTAACTACTTGGTACTCTATGCGTGTTCAATCCTTCAAAGGACCAACACGCCTCGCGTAGGGCTAGCCCCCGGCAGGCCGTCAGCAATGCTACAAGCTCATGGAATGCACCTGGGTGAGTCGTCCAGTGCGTTGGTTACTTTTCTCTCCTTGAGAACTCGACGGAGCTGTTATATTTGTATTTGTTCCTTCTGTAGCTCAAACATGATTGCTCCCCTCGACGGTGCAACATTTGCTTCACACATCATACATGCAGTTGCAGTCAACCTGAGCTGCCTCAGGACGGAGCTGAGCGATGAACAACATGGACGCACTGGACGGCAAATCCGAACAGCACTATCAGTCAGGGCAGGATGAACCGGTCGTGGCGTCCCAGGGCGCCGAGCTCGATCCCGGTGCGGATTGGAAGACCAGGCGGCAGGAGAAACTGATCGTGGCCACCATGGGCATCATCATCCTCCTCGTTGCAGTATGTTGCCCCAGAACCGAGGGCCTCCCCTTCGCTCATTTGCTATGAAGCTGTCTTGGGGAGATTGAGCTAATACGACGAAAGCTGGAAACCGACATTCTCGTGCCTGCTTTACCGGTAAGTTCAGTATACCGTGTCACGTCGTGAGTGTGAATCCCAGCAACCCGGCCGTTGCTATACTTGACGATTTGGATGCGACTTAGACACTGGCATGCGAGCTGCACGGCACATCAGTCGAGACGTTCTGGGTCGGCACCGCGTTCCTGTTGCCCAGCGCGACGTTTCTGCCCTTCATCGGGGCCGCCAGCGAGATTTTGGGTCGGCAGGCGATGCTCCTGGTTAGCAACACTTTTTTCACCGTGGGGACTCTCCTCTGCTGCCTCGCCAACGACTTCTCCGTCCTGCTCGCCGGCCGGGCCATCCAAGGCGTGGGCGGCGGCGGCTTGTACACGCTAACAACCATCGTCATCACCGATATCGTCCCCCTGCGCCAGCGGCCGAAATATCTCAGTCTGATCTCGGCCGTGTTCGGGCTGGGTGGTTTGCTCGGCCCCCTCCTCGGAGGCGTCATCTCGGAACGGACCACGTGGAGGTGGCTGTTCTACATTAATTTCCAGTTTTGCACTTTGGCTTTCGCCATGGTGCCATGGGTCATCAAGTTAGGCCCAAAGAGGGGAGGTTCGCTGGCGAGAAATCTCCTCCGGGTCGACTGGATCGGGGGCGCCATCTTCGTAGGCGGGTCCACCAGCTTTTTGATCAGGTTGACCCGGGCAGGAATCAACTACCCTTGGAGCTCATACGGGACTTGGCTGCCCATCCCCTTGGGCGGCATCGTCGTCATTCTAGCCCTTGTATACGATGTTTTTGTTCCTCACGAGCCTTTCTTGCGACTGTCCGTCTATTACAACGCATCTTCGACCATCGTCTTCTTTCTTACGCTGTTTCAAGGCCTCATGGTATGATCCTTTTCTTCACTTCTTTATTTGCAGCCGCTGACCACACTGCCCCGCATCGCTGTACATGCAATTGTATTATCTACAGTTCTATTTCCAAGCGGTGAAAGGGGCCAGCACGATTCTCTCTGGCGTCTATCTGATGGCGGTCAACATCGTGTTATTCCCCATCGCCGTCGTCTGCGGCATCCTCATGACCAAACTCGGCACCTTTACCTGGGCGAACAGGATCGGATTCGCCTTCATGACGCTTGCCAACGGCCTCTTCATCCTCGTCGACCAGAATATGAGCATGGTGGCCCACCTGTTCATCTTCCTGGTGGTCGGCGTCGCCCACGGCTTTCTGATTGGCTCTCTGAACGTGGCCACGCAGACGATCGCGAAGCCCTCGCACATGACCTTCGCCGTGTCCATGCGGTCCTTCAACCGTTGGTTCGGCACCTGCTTGGGTGTGTCGATCGGCGGCGCCATCTTCAACAACGTCTTGCTGCACTCGCTCGAAAACAGAGGGGCAACAGGGGCCGAGGCCCAGGCCATTTCACAGAACTCGGAGGCCTTTGTCCACACGCTTAAGGAGATGCCGGACGGAGATCAGAAGAGTGAGCTCACTTGGGCCTATGTGGACGGCTTCCGGGGAATTTACTACTTCATGGTTGCTCTCTCCGGCCTCGGGTTGTTACTCTCACTGTTCATCAAGCATCACAGCATGGACAGTCAGGAACCAGCCCCCTCGCCGCATGACTTTGATGACTTGCAGCTGAACGCCCCATCGAGATCGGGTGCTTCGGACGCCAAAGTCTAGCAGTGGTGCAAGATCTAACTTTGGGAGTGTGCAGACATTGCAGTCAATAAGTAGTTAATAATACGTTGATCCAGTGGCCCTGAGTGTGTTAGCTAGGTATTTTACCTATGCATAGTTTAGAACTTTGACAACTTAGCTCAGGGGTCATGAAAGATGTATCACAGCATATATGTTAGTACTAGCTATAAGCTGATTTGATTTGATAGATGAAATGATCACACTATGTGGGAATGCCACGCGGGTGTTTTCATCGATATCTTCTTCCTACGCTTTGAGAAATAGGGTTTCTACGGGGTCATTAACGTCGGGATTGCTCTGTATCTTCGGTTTGACAACACACGCCTCTGGATGAGGCGCTACCTACCTCATACAATCAACAATGATACGGGGCTTTACCAAACGTAGCATCGAGTTGTTACGCGGGAACCGGCAATTTCCAGTTATCTCCGTGATACTGTCCGTTACGCCGCATGACTGCGTCTCACACTCTCGCGCTCAGCTGTCCTGTCTCTTGCCTTTTACGGAGCCCCAGACTCTATTGGCTCTGCCCCTCCGGCAGAACAGAACTCACTAACGAGTCCCACAGCTCTAATGTACCTTAACCAGCCTGCCACCTCATCTTTGCACAAGACTTTACCGCACCGCTACTGCCGACGTAGGTAGTAGTATTGTACAATACAACTCTGTAAACAGGGGCAGGGACTCGACGGCATTGCATTCCGAGATCTTCCGTCGAAGATGTTATTGACACATATGACTGGGATACACCATGTGAACAGACGAGTTGTATACATTCGTAGTGCAACATCCCCCTTTTCACCCCCTTTTTTTTCTTGTTTGTGTCTGACCCAACAGTCTGCTGAAGCTTCATTTGCCCATGGCATTGAGATTTTGGGAATTACATTAGCAACCGTGACTAACGGCATTCCCATCTGATTACTGACACCGTTTTGTACCGTCCAAGTCAAAGGTACTAAAAAGTACTAACCTACTGTACTACAGTGTATTTCTTCTTCGGCGATCGGTGGAAGCGTCTCCCGGCCAATGGACGGTTAACTCACTCCACTCGGTCTTTTACAACCGCCAGATGTCCGGTGCGCCCGTCTAATTGGCCATAGCTAGAAACGCCATTGGGACGATAGAAGCTGAGACTTGAGGCTCCGTGCCGTGAGACTGCAACCGTTGGCGGTGTTTGTCGCTTGCGATGGAGGATGGCAGTCGGCAACCCCACAGGACGATCAACGCCCCCATACTGTGTGGATAGCGCGGCTATCCGCGTGCAAAGCCGTGGCTTGGCGTGGCTTGGTGCCCCAACGCTCCGGGCCGCCCAGGTCTTGGCTATCGATGATTGGTGTTCGTGCGCATTTTGTAACGGCACGCAGATGCCATGTTATTCCGCTCGGGATACGGTGCACGCTCCGTTTCGGCCTTGTGGCTTGGCAGGCAACCTACACTGATTCCTGGAGACATATTGTGCAAACGCCATACCTGTAGAATATGTCTTTTCGAGACACGTATGGACATATTAAGGATGTAGTGCACAGAGCGGAGCATGGCACGACTTATGAGGTCGACCTCGTAGTTCGGTACGTCAAATTAGGACGTTAAAGTGGGCCGTTGACTCACAGTTTCAGCCTTTCAGGTATCTAATATGAGAGTTAGGTACAGGTATGTCTGCCGGTGCGATCTGCGCATGGCCGGGTAACGCAGCATTGGAAAGTCGGCAGGGTGGGCTGCAACGTTAAGCTCACGGACTGCAAGCCTGGCTGAGCTCCGGGCCACCGATCCCGTGCCGGCGTCTTGTGCGGCGGCGGTGGGCCGATGGCGGACCCGCGCACCCCGTGCAGGAGGAGCGCGTGACGGAACTCGCGCGGTTGGCCCAGGGTTGTGGTTGGGGTTAGGTTAGCGCTCGCAGATCTAGACTTGGCGTCCATTGCAGGCGCACATGATTACAAGATGCTACGTACATAGCTTGAAGACTGCCTACCTCACCTTTGATGGATGCTACTAGTTAAATCCAAGATTCCCTTTGCCGCCTCTTTGCACGGGTTTGCTGCTGGAATTCCAACCCTGTGCTTACCCACCTACAAGCTTGTCCTACTAAGACGAGGGAAATCTGATCCAATGATGTCACCAGCGATCGGACCCAGTACCAGCAATCGAGCGTACAAGGCCATGTTCAGAACAGAAGCCGCATGTGCTGAAATGTGGACTCGGGACACCGGCAGAGGTGTGTCCAGCTAAACAAGACCAGGAACTCGGGCTCGGACCTGGGACCAGCAGATTAGTCTGCCCGGGCTTTCCTATTTTTATATCTGATTGTTTAGGCATATCAGCACGCTAGAGATATACCGGCTTGAATCGATGTTTCACGCACGGCATTAGTGTCCTGTCGGGCTATGAAAAGAGGATTGCCGAGCCGTATAGTTGCGATAGCTCGCATTCATGTTGTTGATGAGTGATGTTTTGCTCGGAGCAACGCGATACAAGATAAGGGCCATCGCGCTGAACCTGATGCTGATGCCCGGGGGGGAACGTGTTGCGTGGTTGGGAAACATGAAGCGATGTAAGCGGTGGACTTGCCACCTATCGCAACGGCTGTATACATATCTGGCCTGTGGTGCTATTAAGAGGGGGCAGTCGAGAGGATGATTTTTGCATGCAAAAATTTGGCTGCACTAACAGATGTCTAGCCTGGCCGAAGCACCGAGATGCCGTGGAAAGTGAAACCCTGGCAGGACACATGCGGGTATGAACTCAGATTTAGGAGGCGGGCTCGGCAAGCGCGGCCACCATGGGCTTGCCATAATCTTCCCGTCTTACATGTACATACCGGTACTGACCAACCAACTGCCCCCCTGCGTTTCCTCCATCACTCGGATTTCTTACTATGATACCAGTCGAGCATACTGCATCGTATGTCGGAGATCAGCCTAAGTGTCTGCAGCTAATTCTTGGCTGACGTCTTAAAAGCTTTCCTGGGCCCGGGACTCTGGCTTCCTCATGATTGATTAATGAAGTTGCTTGCCGTTGGTGAGCACTGAGCATCGCTCTCCCTTCGCCCCATACCCAGACCCAACGGCAACCATGAACTGCAGGGCTGGAGCCGATCCGCGTTTTCAGTCTATATGTACCTATGCAGCGCTGACCGTTATGAGTATTTACCCGTTGCTGGTCAGCAGTCGCCTTGATCCGAGTCAGGTGGTCGATAAGTCAAGAGATAATGGCCGAATTCCGGGCTACGGTCTACCCCAGAGGTAGTGCCAAGTCCAAGGCTCGTATTTGCGTTGGGGTACCGCGGGAGCGGCCCAAGAGCATGCCGCCATGGTGACATCGTCTTGATGCATGAACCAAGAGCCGGCTACCTTAACTTGGACAACGGCTGGGGCATTGGGATTCGGGGTGCTGGATACTCGGGTCCAGTGCGGATGCAGGAGACTCGGAGGAGAATGGGCATGCGGTGCATATTTATTTCCATTATTTGGACGATATAAAACAGGCGTCCTCTCGAGCTGATTCCATACACTAGGACATCTCAACACACATCGCAGCGTTCCCTCTCAGTACCATTACCAACTAAGTAACCAAGCCAGCATGAATTACATTATTGCACTCGCATCGGCTCTCAGCCTGCTCACCACCGCACTGGCCGTCCCCCTCTCGGAACGCCAGGGTGCCCAGACGGTGCACCTCACCTTCCACTGCGGGCCAGCCGAGTACTCGATGGCCTTCCCCGCCGACGGGACCGTCTACTCGACAAGTGAGCAAACCCCTTTTTCCCTGTCCCTTCCCTTCACATCCACTGTCCCAGTAAAGATGCTAACCTAAGTACTACCCGTACCTACAGACGAAACGGACATGGCCGTCAACATCATCGACGCACCAGACTACAACGCCTATGGGCAGTGCCAGTTCATGACGGCCGGCCAGGCCACGCTTGCCAGCGGCTTCTCGTCTACGGGCGTCAACCAGATCCACATCGGCCCGCCCCAGCCCGTGCTGGGCGTCAGCTGCCAGGGCATGTGCGTGCCCACGTACGGCGAGTGCTTCCGCAATGGTCAATATGTCGGACCCTGCTGCAACGGGTTCTGCGCGGCCAACCGCTGCCGGCCGTGGGTCAACCCTTCCGTCTAAGTTCATGGGGCTGGTGGTTGTGAGGATGGCATCATGCTGGGGATGGAGAGGGGGCTCCGCGTTGGTTCAGTTGGGTTGATTCGGATTTCTTTGGCGTGGCGCTACAACTATACTATAATACTAGACATTCGTATTTTCTCGTTCTCCTACAGGCGTTGGGATGATTTACTTTGATGATGCATGGTAGGACAGGTTCACAGATCGCATGTAAGGCACTGCTACTAGTATTGTCCGGGCCTCAACAATAAGTTCCTAACCTTGAATACCAGGTACCAGACACTTGACCTTGTCTAGAGTTCCAGAACTGGAACTTGTGAATCTTACAGTAACACTTATCCCATCACTAGGTTCTCCGCTCAGAAGGTATCACCTCACTCGGCAACCAAGGGAAGCACATCGGAGCTCACACCATATGGTCGTCAAAGTTGATTCCAAAACTCCCTGTCCGCTTAGTGTCCTTCCTGTGATCGCGATTTGTAGCGAAATGCCAGATCAAGACCGTGACAGCCGTCAATGCAACTGAGAGGACAACGAGGATCCAAATGTAGGGTGAAATGACGGTATCGCCGGAGCCAGGATGGAAATCAAAGAGCGAGGTTGAGAAGATAGACTGCTTGCGGGACGAGGGTCACAAGCACATACTGTTAGTAATGGTAAACGACGCTATGATAAGGTAGTAGGTACTAGTAATACGTACGGCCACACACGAGACGGGGAGGTAGATCATGCCCAGCAGAGCGATGGATCTCATCTGGGAGCTCTCACGCTTGGTCTCGAAGGCAATGAAGGCGTTGACTTTGGCCATTTTGGTGTTTGTAGCTGAGTCCTCTCTCGCAGTTTGGTTCCAGCCCTGTACTTGGCGGATCGCATCTGTCAGTCAGTACAGTCTAACCATCCCCCAGAGGCCAGGACAGGGTTTGCCGGGCAATTGGGTGTCTTTCATACCGTTTGCATAGCGAGTGACAGATCCTGGGTCATGGTCTCGCACTGGTCGATCTTGTCATCGTACTCGTCCACTATATCCTGCAATCTCCGCTTGATCCGTTGTCCCGTGGCTAAAACTCTCTGTCGCTTGTCCGTGTCTCTATGGCAGGCTGGGGGGGTAAGCTCCCATTCCCTTTGTAGCGTGTCGACCTCGTCGATGAATGCACGGAGCTGCCGCTTGACGGCATGGATGTGGTGCATCAAGCTGCGGCATTGCAGGCAGATGGAGAGATAGTCCTGCATCTTTTTGCCGTCTTGGTCCCATCTGCTATTCTTGAATATGTCAGATGCCAACGTGAACCTATCCACCAAGTCTTCTACCAGGCCCAATAGCCTCTCGCGCTCGAGCTCTGCAAATACCCCCGGCAGGAGAAGGTGGTGATCGGTTGTGTCTTCTGCGGCACGTATCCTTGTTTCAATGGTCCTCATCTGCTTGTTGTTGCATCCATATATTACCGCGTATGTCCTTCCGCTTTCGGGGATGAAAATCAGGGACATTGCCAGATCGTCTGGCAGGGCCGCAGACATCCTCAAAGTATACGCTGTCCAGTGTGTTGTGAGTCCAGCTTCTTGGGGAGTGAGCCCTGCGGGGAGAGCCTGTGTGACGGGTAATATCACTAATGTCAATACCACTTACAGATAGTATAGAGACCGGTGTTTGGGCAGGTGTACCGAACCGCTGAGAATCGGGCAACTCGTCGGGAGATGGTCCGCGTAATGCTCCGGTGTACGTGGAGCAACTTCACGAGCCTCTTCCACACCGAGTATTCAAATGGTAGATGCGAAACTGGAGCGGGCTGGCCCGGGAAGATCTCTGGAGCTCTGCTACACAGGCTAGACGCAGACGGTCAGATGGTGCCCGCATTGGGGAACTGTTGAACACCAATACATGACCAAGATACCCGGCGTAGCCGTGCCTTCCGTTAACCCGGGTGTCTAACGAGGGTTAGGTGATGACACAAGTTGACAACTTGAAAGTCTTGGAGAATGGAGAGACAGGATGGCGCATACGTTGTCGAACCATTTCTCCCATGCCTTGCTTCCCCATAACCTCTGGGACGATACAGACTGCCTGGCGTGTCAGTACTGACCGAACTCCGAGTCCTTATGGGATGCGAGAGCGCACTGACCTGATCTCTCTCGAGCTTAGATATTGCAATGGCCTCCTGTTCGACGTAGTGGTCGAACTGAGAGAATTCATGTGTGGTAAAAGCCGGTTTCAATGGGTCCCAATCCATGGGGACTGTTTGGTTGAAGCGTTGGAATTGATGGGAGGCCAAGCTCCAGTTGTAACAGAATCAGGGGGCGTTGAGTTTGATGCTCGACGCTTAAGAGTATTGATTCTCACTTCCTCTTCTTACAGGAACCATTTCCTTCTCTTCGTTCACGTTTTCGGTTCTCCAGTGCTCATTAGATTGTAAGGCATGTAGAATCAGCTCAGCCAGTATAGAGTGAGCTCACAGAGTGTTATTACATCAGGTAGGTGAGTACACTGTGTCTGCCCCCAAGACCGGCAGCCATGGATTTGGATGCGGTGCAACGAATGTGCTCAGCCCAGCCCCTGCCCTGCATTTGATACTCGAAGCAAGACACCCTCCCGTCGTATTGGACCGCCACACATTTTGCCCATACATAAAAATGATTTACACTTCGCACAACTTAATATGTTTCTCGCCTGAGCTGTAGCTATTACCGGGTGCAAATGTACACCCCAGTGTGAGCCTACCAGTATAATAGCTTCTTTGAGCGCCTTACTACTGTGCTATTTCGCTATTGGCAGCTTAGCTCTGTGCTGCATCTCAGCCCCCCTCTCTAGTGCTTCCGTGTGGCTGCATGCATGCGCATGTCCACGTGTTAAACAGTAACTCGTTGAACCCGCAGGTATGGGAACCGCAGGGCGTTGAGGTGGGCAATTTGTGTTACCTGGCATCCGTTCAGGCCTGACATTGGACGCACTCACCGCCACGTTCAACCTACAAACTGCGTGCATGTGGCAAACATTGGCAGATGCTACGGGCGTAATGGATGAGGGTAGGTGGCGAGGAACTGGAAGAGCCTGCAGGGCGCTCTCTTCTAGGCCGTGGAGGCCCGGACAGGTTGCCTCCAAGGCGTGCGCCGTACCATCCGTCATCCCAAACGACCCCCCAAAAGTGGCTTGAATGGCAACATGTCGAACGCGCGACCGTGGCACGAGGTGATGCTCCGGCAGAAGTATAACGATCCGAGAAAGCTCAAGCAGGTTCTTGATAAGGTGTATGGCTCTGGGAACTATTTGGTCAAGGTCATTATACCCTTTTCTCTGGGTGCTCCACGGAATTAAGGGCCAGTCACTGACAGTCGTCCAGATCATGAGCGAACGGTGGATTCTCTATCTCCCAGAGCCTCTGACAGAGGTGAGAGGATCCCGAGTTTGATTGAACGAACACTCTTTACCCGCCGGGCTACCGGGGTTTCAGGCCTAGAATCTAACGTGGAGAACCTTCAAGGGGGGCCTATGTGAAATCGAAAACATGATTCGTTTCCATTGGAAACCCTATTGATCCGACATAGCGTACCTTGGTACCTTAGTCTTTAATGTTGGTATCTACGGGACTATTGTGGCAAGGGGATCGATCACCTAGTAGGTTTGGGTCTTAGGGTCTCAAGTCGTCTCAAAAGCGGTTTATATTCGGGTGTAACCCTTATATCTGGATGTCCACAACCGTGAAACTAGCAGATCAACAAGCATTGATAATCTTTGGGCCGACCGTTTGAGAGCTGATCCGACGCTGCGGCATGCTGGTGATATGATATGCCATAGCATCCACCGCCATATCTTCTCTCTCGTAGACGGCGGATGATCTAGATCTCCTGTTGCAAGGCTACTCGATCAGCTTGGATTGTACCGGTGTGAGTGGCGAGAGGATAGAGGCTGGGCTCGGCCATCACGATGGCTTGGTACCAGATAGTAGTAATGCTAGAACATACTCTTCGTCCAGTGTTTCGTATAAAACGACTTGGAAAGCTCGCCACACCGCAACATCTTCTTCAGTTCGTTCGTGAGCTCCCCTGCGTGTATCCGCGTGTCCGAGTTCGGGTCGAGCATCCTCTTCTCGATCAGATTGAGCATTTTGAACAGATACTCGCAACAGGCCTCGTCCTGTTTGAGCTCCTCGATCCATTCCTTCACTTTGCCCTTTGTTGTGGCCGTCCTCTCATCGTCAGACAGCTCGAAAAAGGTGTCGAGCTCGAACTTGTACTTTTTGTCGATCTCCAGTCGCCTCGAAGCGAAGTCGTCGACGCCGGTTTTGCCTCGGAGAAACCAGGTGATGTGCTCCAGAAATACACATCCCATGCTGTAGACGTCTGATCTTGGCGAAATCTTGCCGTCTTTCAGGTCGAACTCGGGCGCCCTGTATGAGATGGTCATGGGCATATTCCTGGGATCCGCGTTCGACTTTGAGATCTTGCTGTGGAGTCGCCCGAGTCCAAAGTCGCTCATGACGAGTATTTTCGACCCGTCACGCAGCTTAAAGTACAGAAAATTGCTCGGTTTGATGTCGCCGTGGCGGCCGTACAGGTTCGAGTAAGTGTTTGCCGAGGGCATGCGCTCAAGGTCGTTGTGGATACAATGGAGGGCTCTGGCGAGCTCGCAGAATTGCTTGGCCGTCCATTTCAGCCAGTCCAGGTCTCTGACCATGGTTTCGTTGGACTTCCAGAACTGCTGGAGGTTGCCTTCGGCCCAGTCGAACAACAGATGGTACTCGGAATCGTCCTGCTGTGGATCCTGTATCTCAAACGTCGCAAGGAGCGGGATCATGTGCATTATGGCGCCAGGCTGGTGGCCGCTGTAGTTCTTGGAATGGTAGTCGGCAAACACGGAGGTTCGGATTTCCATGTCAAAGTCCATTCGTCGTTTGATGGGGTCATCATGTGGGTGTTTTCTCAGCGTCTTGAGGGCAAAGATTTCGTCATCACTCCGAAACTGAGCAAAATAGATAGGTAGGTAGGCACCTTAGTTAGCCGTAGTGCCCGCGTTAAACAGCATGTTGGGAATTGGCTTACTCCCGTGAGCGCAAGACTCTTGCTGCTGGCCTCGATATTGACGGGGACAACTTCACTAAAACCCCCCTCGGCACGGCCTCTCTGGTTGTGTGTGGGCTTCAGGGGGATGGGGTCGGTATCCTCCAACACGTAATGGCGGTGTTTTGGGCTCGCGCTAGTATGTTCAGCCCCCCTGGAATCGCGGTGCCAGGTAATGTACAGAGGCATGAGCTTCTGAGACCATTGGGAAAAGCGTTCCCGGGTATCCGGCATGGTGTATTCGTTGATGACTTTGTGATCAAAGCCATGGCGCCTGCAGGAGAGCTGATGCTCGTTTTGACCATTGTGCTGCTCCGTTTTCAACGGCAAGCAGTCGTCGGTCATCCCCTGTTCCATGAGTTTCTTCAAGTCATTCTCACGCCCAATCTGAATGAGCACGCAAAGCAGCTTCCTACAGGGGCCGCGGTCACCCTTCCCAAAGTATATGTCTGCTGCCAACTCAGCGAGCGTGCCAGCCTTGCGTTCGGCTTCAAAACAATGGAGACGAGATATGAGTTGGAGGACGACCTCAGGCGTGACTATTTTGTCGAATTTGTCACGGGGTACGTACTTGCAATATCGATAGCCGGGAACTTGAGCAAGTTGCAGCTCTCTGGTGATGTTTCTGACGATGTTGGGGTCGTCCGGATTAGCGGCAATGTCCCTCCGTGTAGTGAGCTCCGGGTGGTCATGGCGGTATTCTTTCTCTCCTCTGTCGTAGACCACTTGGACCCGTTTCGGGTCGTCGATCACAAACTGAGGCATTTGGGCCGCAGCAGCAATGTCCCGGAGGCCAGCCAGGGCTTTGGTTCCACGTGCAGGCTCGGGTTTTGGGCTTCCTGCGAGACTGATTCGAGGTGTGCTGTGGCTAGAGTCGCTCAGGGGTAGAATGCAAGGGGGTGGTATCCGAGTCAGGGGGCAATCTTCTTCTTAGAAAGAGCTCCACAGCGCTTTCTAAAGGAGATAATTTGGCTAGGCTCATCTGTCGTCGCTCCTAGAATAAGCGATGAGTACAAGTAGATTCAAGTGATGAGTTTTGATCGCGGTCAATCTCATGAACCAAGCCGATGGCACTCTTACAGTGGGGGCGGGGGAAGCAAAAGGATGCACATGGAGAAAGCCCACTGAAGCGTCTTGGGGGAAGCCTTATGGATAAGGTGCTGGACTTGGCTTAAGGCGCCCACCGTCCATCCTGCCATAAATATAGGACGCGTCCCAGCCTTGCAAGAAACTTGAACGCCCAGCCCATGCAGAATGCAAGCCATAGCATTTCCCCCTCCTCCAGTAACTGATCCGCGAGCCTTGCAGATAATAAGGTACAGTAACTTCACACCAGCTAAGGATGTAGGTACTGTTCGTGAGGCAAGTACTTTGTTTACTAAGGTACCTAAATCCCCGATGACCTTGCGCTGCGCTCTCAGTGGCTTGGTGCGCTGGCTGTACCGCCCCTATACTATAAACCCGTTGATGGCTTCATTGTATACTAAGGTGGGTAGATCGCTGCATCAGACAGAAAAGGTAAGGTACCTCATCAAAGTAAGGTAGGTATCTACTACCTACCTACAAATACTAGTGGTGTGATTGGCATACCAGTTTGAGATACCAAGTGGTAGTACATGCATCCATGATGTACATGTACAGTACTTCTGGTACACGATCACAAATGTCGGCGGCGTGCACGACTTTAACAGCTCGGGGTTGACGGAGCCTTGCGCTTGGAATGCCCGCCATCTAGTTGTGAGCTTTGCGTGCTTCAACACCTGCATGTGCTTCAAGCAGCTGCAGGTTGCATTGGTTCCCGTACAAACACCTACCTAGTTACAGAGCACTTTTACGACGCCTCCATGCGTGTAACACACCATGGCCAGGCCAATCACGAGAAGTCGCGGTCAATTGACCGGAGGGGTCGGTGTCGGCTACCTGTCACGGTAGCAACCTCCCTCTCACACCCCTTAACCCACCCCGGTGAGGGTCCCTTAACTCTCAGCTAGCTGCTACGGCTGACTTCAAGGTTATCATCCCACGCCAACCTCTTCCGAATGTATAAGGAACCCAAAAGCAGTCAAAAGATTCCAAAACCGACGACGGTACGAACAGGTACACGTAGCTCAGAGCTGAGAAGGGACGAGCGTCAGGCTCCCTACATACTCAAGTTACCTCGGGATGGTAGAGTGCCTTGTAAGGCTCTGTGAGCCGTCACGAAATACCGGGAACTCCGTCTTCGTATAAACCTGTAACGTTACAGGTTTGGTCTCGCTGTTCACTTGCAGGCTGTGTATTCACTCACCCCAAGGTCGGCCGGTTCCGTGACCGTCTAGGTCAGGTGTCACACGGTGGCAGTATCCCAAAAAGTTGCCTTAGTACCTCCTAATCATTCCCCGCTTTCAGCCTTTCAGGGTACTGCGCCTGGTGGCGGAACTTTATCCATCCAAGTGACGGACGAATCATGTCGTCCGGTGTGTGTTTCGCCGTAGGCAATCCACAAGCCAATTGAAGGATTGACTGTTCCCGCGGTATGCGAACTTTGCGCCAGATGTCAGCCATGGCCGGCGTACGCCACTCGGAGGCCGTACCAGGTGGTTTCGCCCGATATCCACCTTATGGTACTTTGAAGATATCGGTCCCTAGCATATATAATGATATAACTCTCCAGGTCACAGATCTCAAAAATGTCCTCAACTCCAAGGCGTTCACCATTCCTGCTTCATGTTGACGAAGTCTCTTGACCTTCTATTGTCCCGGAGACACGTCACAAGCCGCTAATATGCCCAACCGGTCAGCAACTCGCATACCCAACATCCCTGGTGTCATGTTCAGCCAGAGCGACATTGAAGGGAGATTGAACGCCTATCTTCCAGCCACCCAAGTCAGCTTAGGACAGATGAAGCGCTACCTAGACTCCCAATACCCAGGAAAATACTCTGTCCAGGTATTTGAGAAAGCAATCTGTCTTGGCTATTCAAACACA